TCACTTACATAGGCCTGAAAAATAGGCCTTATATATGGTAGGTACCTCCATTTTAGGATCCTGAGTAAATGATCCTTCCGACGATGAGCTTGGTGAAAGGTAGATGCTTCCGACGTATCGTTGCCACAGGGGCGGCTTTTCACGTTAGACTTTGTGCCGTGTTGGTGATGTGGAGTTTCCTCCCGTAAACTAACAACATAGATGTGGAGTTGACCCACCATTTGCAGATCATTTTCCTAGGGAAACCCATGGGGTTTTCATGGGGTTTTCCACATCTTTCTGTAGGTTTACCCTTGCTTTACCCTTGGGAACCCTATCCGCCATGGGGTGGTGCATGTCCAGGCAACAATGACATGTAGTCTGACTATGTTATATCAAACACCACTGTGATGATCATGTTCTTCTATAATTAATAATTACAGTTATACTATATCCAATCATCAGTCATCCAATTCTTCCAAACAAACATATCAATACAATTCTTATAATAGAGGATTATATTGTAGATATACACAATATTATACAAATATTCTACATACATGATTGGATATTACTATATAATATATTCATATCATTAATGCTAGAATCACCATTTTTACCATATAATAATCATTCATATCATTAATTACTATATAATATATTCATAATTCATATCATTACTATATTGGATATTACTATATTATATTACTATATTGGATATTACTATATTGGATATTACTATATTCTATTACTGTATTGGATATTACTATATACTAGAATCATATCTACCCTCTGGTAATTTAACATAGCTATTAAAAATGGCCTATTCGAAATAGTTGATTTTCCCATAAAAAAATGTGATTTTCCATCGTTTTTTGTATGTTTACCAGAGTCATAGAATTGGATTATGGGAAAATTTACAGGAAAACCCTAACAATTTGATGGTCAAAACTATGGTTTCCGGTTAAGATTTTCCCCAACAAACCAATCCAGTGACAGAGGTTAAGTGCAAAATCTTCCAATTTTTCACTATAAATCCCATTGAATCACTATAAATCCCATTAATATCCCATTAAATCACTATAAATCCCATTAAATCACTATCAATTTTTCTCCAATTTTTCTCGACTCCACGTCTGAAAACTCCGCAGGCTGCTCCGTTCTAAGGCCACGACGCCGATTGCCAACACCTGGTCCCTGACCATCGGTGGCGAATCCTCGGGCGCCATGGATGGCTTTCCAGCTGGGGAGCCCAGGGTCTCCCTGGAAGCCACCGAAAAACATGGGCTTTTGACAGGTCAATGGCCATGCAACAGGAACCGATCAATGGGATTTCTATGGGATTTTTTATGGGATAATTGGTATAGTAATTTATGGTATTTAATGGTATACTCACCAAAGAATGTGGTGAACAAATCGTAGATTTTTTTTGTGGATAGCCTCTGGTAAACGTTTACACCAACTATTGGAAGATCACCACTTAAAAAAGTTCGGTAAATCAACGAACTGGGCCATTTTCCAGTTCGCTATGTGAAAAATTACCGAGGGTAAGTCATAAATGTGGTGAAGCCATAAAAATATCATGAATGAATGAGTGTTACCCTCTGGTAATTTAACATAGCTATGGAAAATCAATGGGTAAATCCACTATAAATTGCAATTTTTGATAGCAAACTGTTAGTTTACCAGAGGGTACCACATGATTGAAAATCAGAAAGTGGACTTTGTCATGGTCATGAAGTCATCATGAAGTCAGGGGAAAACAGCAGGAATTCAATGGAACTAATAGTCATCTTAATCCATTTGCATCGGGAGTGCCCCATTTAAAAACACACCCAGTTGTTGAGGATCTGGTTCCAAGCGAATCAGAGCAACCTCCTAAAAACATCTAAAAACAGGCCTTGGAAATACAGGATGGGGCCGAGGATAGCTTGAACCGTTGCCTGATTTTTGTGGCTGAAAAAACTATGGTTTATGGTAGATATAACGAACTATAACTATAGTATTCATGGGGGTTATTTCATGGTTTATAAACCAACATTCACATCACTGGGGGGGGCCCATCCTGTAAACATAGCCTGATGGACATCCAACTTGCAGCCGGGATGGGACATGGATGCCCAGTTGGATGGCTGGCTAGTCGTTGGATTGAACAACTACGCCAGTTGAGTATCTGCGGCAGTTTCTGACCATCAATCCTAGAAAAAATGTTTGTTGAGATGTACTCCCAACATCTCCCAACTGGCTTTAACCTGAGTGAAGTGGCAAATCAGGGTCCAATCCAAAAAAACCAGGGATCAAAACAGGGCGTGGGAAATTCCAGCCAAGTTTCAATGATAACCACACCATGGTTTTTCCGGTTTTAGCATCACTTCCCTCTTTTTCCAGAGTGAGATGGGTCGTAAATCATGGGGGTTTCAGGGGATACCTTATGAATCGAGACCTACCTATATGTATGTCTGTATGAATACATATGAATCATGCTTATTTTATCGTATTTAAATGTATTCATATTATACTTATTTGTATTTATTTGTAGTTATGTGTATTTATATGTATTTATATGATTTTATGTTTTATATGATTTTATATTTTATATGTATTTATATGTATGTATATTTATTGTATGTATATGTAAGTAAGTTTTGCACCCATTTTGAGCGCAGAACAAACCACTTTTTATAAGTTGCTGGTTTTGTAGCTGCCCAATTCAATCCCCAAGAATTGTATTTCTAACGGCTGTGACGGCAGCCACTTTCTCTGAGACATTCCCTCTCGCTGTTGGTTGGTGTAGGTGGATACGTAGGTAGTGGTAGCAATGATAATTATAGTTATATGAGTTTATTTATATATTTGTTTTTACATTCTCTTTGAATGTACATATATATATATATAGATATACACACTAACATTGGTATTAAATGATTGTTCATAGCCAATTTATGTTTGGTTATTTGTAAGTATATTTTCATGAGTATGTTGCATGTATGTGTTGAGTGTATATCATATCTGATAAATATTACTATGCACTTCAAACAATGTTCTAGTCATGCTCAACAAAAAGATGGTTACGGTTCCCTGAATAGTTTTGGTCATGACGAGGATGAATATGGTGATGGTGGTGATGTTGTTGTTGTTGTTGTTGGTGGTGGTGGTGGTGGTGGTGGTGGGTGGTCATGATGGTAATCATTCTTACTTTTTGCAACATTTATACAGCGTGTTTCCCATTCTCAATACCAAGTGTTCTACTTGGTTTCTTTTTTTGATGATCATCATTACCCATAGGATCCATGTATGGTATATATGCCAACATGACTGGGGTATATTGATGGGATCCATGTTACCATATTAATGGCATACATGGATCCTATGGGTTATACTGAGATTGAATGAGAACATGAATCATACAATGTGGGGCCCCCTAGATAGCTAAGTTGGTTTATAACTCCAATAACTATGGTTTATTGTACTTATAACTATAGTTAGTGGGGTTTATAAACCAACTTAGAACTGGGGGGCCCCACATTGTAGCATCATTTCTCAGTTCTTGTCTCTTGGCGTTCGGAGGTTTGGACCTTCCCAGGGGTTCGAATTGAACCTGTCGGGTGTCCCAGACAAAAAATGTGCAGCGAGAGCCCGTGGGGGTCACGGGAAGCCTTGACCCTGGCAATACTGGGCAACTTACCCTCTGGTAATTTAACGTAGCTATTGAAAATGACCATTAATAGTGGATTTTCCCATTAAAAATGGTGATTTTCAATAGTTATGTTAGTTTACCAGAGGGTAATAACCCCAACAAAAAGAACCCTTGTAAAACCCATACTGGTTGGTGGTTTGGGACATGAATTTTATTTTTCCATATACTGGGAATAGTAACCCCAATTGACTCATATTTTTCAGAGGGGTGGCTCAACCACCAACCAGTATAAATTTCACCGATGTTCCATTTTTTTTGTCGCGCTATGGTTAATGCCCAGTTCTTTTTTTTCCAATACCGGATATACCCATAAATCAACCACTCGCCAAATCCATTGAGTGAAGTATCACACAATAAACACTTGGATAACAAGGGTAGAATGTGAGGCCCCCGTTTGATAGCTAAGTTGTGCAAATAACTCCAATAACTATGGTTTATGGTACGCAAATAACTATAGTTACTGGGGCTTATAAACCAACTTGTAACTGGGAGGCCTCACATTGTAGAATATGTTCCTGGTTGGTGGTTTGGAACATTTTTTATGACTTTCCATATATTGGGAACAATAATCCCATTTGACTCATATTTTTCAGAGGGGTTCAAACCACCAACCAGGTTATAATCCAATGTTTATGGCTAAGTTTCTTAGCCCATTCTCCCACCCAAAACGGAACATTTCGTTCTGGCCTTGAACCACAGGTCACCAGGACGGCAGCTTTTTTCATTCTTGAAACTGGATGGATTTTGACCGTCAACAGGGGATCAAAAAATTTAGATACAGTACATAGTTGTATATATAGCTAGATGATAGCGTTAATATTTCATCATACATGTTAACATATGAGCAAGCGACAAAAATTCTCTGTGATACTAATTTAGTTTTGCTTCGCATTGGCCTTGCTGAGGGGTGTGCCAAACCTTCATTAGCGATAGGTGATGACCCTGTACCGATATCCATGTTTGCAATAAGTAGCCTCCAAGTCTGAGAACGCAGAAATCCTCAGTACCGATAGAGGATGACCTTAATTTGAGCATGGCATGAAAATGAACAAATAATTTCGTCCGCTATTTATATATATATATGTATATATAAATTTTATAATATATATATATATATGTATAGTGCATATATATATAAAGTAATATCCCCATTATATGTCAGCTATGTCTCACTTACACATAATGGAAGCGTTAATTATACTGTAATGTACCACAATCTATAAACTAGATACAATTATATATATAAACATATGTTATATATTTATAACAATCATATGTATATATATATATACAGAGTAAAATTCCCACATATGATTTGTAGATCATTTCGAACACGCGACAAGCAGGTCCTTTTGGCTTGGACCAATAAGACCAGCCCGGTGTCCATGCCTGTGGCAGCCCCTGGGCGGAAAAATGCGGGGATTTCGCCGTGAAAAAACGTGGGAGATCCACATTTAAAGCGTGAACAAAATGGGGGTTTGAAAACCATGAAACATGGAGAGAAACACATGAAACATGGATTGAACTAGAAAATGGCATTTTTTGATGGGAATTGGAGATTTTCTGGGATATTGATGGGATTTCATGGGATTTTTCCATGGGATTTTGCCGAAACCGCAACAAAGACCCTGAAAACAGTCAAATTGAAGTGGGAACGAATCTTCCAACCCCCAAGTCGGGCAGACAAGGTGATGTTACCGGAGGGTAACCATCAAACATGGGGATTCTTGCTCTATGTAAGCAGCCATGAAAAATAGTGATATTTGCTGGGATAATGATATGGGGATGGGTCAAAACCAATAGTACCCCTGTAGTTCACATGAAAATAGCTGGGATTTATGGATGTGAATAACCCACTAAAAATGGTATTAATAGGTATTGATCCATACCCATATGTATATATATATACATATATTAATAGTAATATTATAATACGTACATGATATCTGGGTGCGTTTGAACATGGGGAATTGAAGCCTCAAGTTATGGCAATAGGGACAATTATGATGTTTCCCATGGGATACGAACAGCAAGGGTGATTTTTTTCAACTGGGGCATTCAGCCAACGCAAATGAACATATCAATTTCAACCATGATCAACTGTGGGATTTTAAGGTTCCAAACCTTGAGACAAGCCCATGTTGAGCCAGAAAACAAATGCCATTTGGTTTGGTAAGATATAATGTGATGGGACATACGCAATTTTTGTTGCGGGGGATTCAGGATATATGTGCTGCATAATATAATTTACCATCTCGTGAGTGGGAAATTGTTCGAAGCACATGATGTAAAGCCAATTCCAGAAAACATCCCCAATTAGGGTTTATGACATTGGGGGTGCCCCTATTTGGGACACTTTCCATCCTTACAACTGACCTAGACCCTGAAAAACACATGTTTATGTAGGTTGACTGATACTTAGAACATCACGTGGACAACGCTGCTCCAATATTTTGCAGGAATGTTCTAAGTGTGTTCAGGAAGAGCTATTTGGAACATCACCAACAAATATTACACATAGAACATCAATTGTGCACATGGTGATCTTCTAAGTGCTTGTCCACTATGCTAAAAGTAATGGAGAATTCAATTTTGCAATAGCGTCTAAAACGCAAGCGAGGAATGCTGAAAAAACCAGTTATTTATGCTTTGATGCGCGTATCAACCAGGAATGTGTGGGACAAACCATGTTTTCAGTGCTGACTCCAGCGTCAAGAAAGAATACCAAAGAGGAGAAAAATGTGCATGAGGGATGTATGTGCAGGTGGGTGCGTTTTGAATTTCCAATCATTTCTCCTGAAGCGGAAAGCCACTTAGATCACTTAGAACATCAGACCACTTTTTCCCCCGGTCGGAATGCATGTTTTTATGTGTTGATGTTCTAAGTGTTGGGTTCTTGATTTTGATGTTCTAAGTGATACACTTAGAACATCCCAATCTTGATTGTCCTGATGTTCCAAGTGTGCGCTCTTTTGCATTTGGAAAACGTTTGATGTTCTAAGTATAAGTCTACTTTTTTTTGAGGAGAACTCACGGCAGGGTCGATGTTTTTTGGAAGGATGGTAGAACCTATTGATACCTATTGCTTTTTAGTTAGGGGAAACTTGCAGGACTAGGACACCTGTCTCAAGAAGATGTCTCGCCAGGGAGGCGAATCCAAATCGTCATGGAGGATGTGAAGATCATGCACCGATGATCAGGTGACCATTTTAGGTGCTGTACCATATAAAACCCATATTTTAAGACCATATTTTGGAGGTATATCCCCTCACATAGCCCTGAAAAATAGGCCGTATATATGGAATCGGTACCTCCAATAAATCGGTGAATAAATGATTTTCACATACCCCAAAGGGGGGCATTACCCCCTATAAACTAACCATTTCAACCATTAGTGGGAGATCTTCACCATTGATAATCCACATGAACATCCTTCAAATTTTCTCCTTTCGTCGTTTTGCCGCAATGGCCATGGGTCCGAAAATCGTCCAGGTCTTCTTTGAGACAACGAACTGGCTCTTCTATTTTGTCCGTGTCTCAGGGTGCATCCCACTGAAAAGCAACAAAAAATCTTCACCACTGAGTTGCCCAAATGGGTTTATTAATGGTACCCTCTGGTAAACTAACGTAACTATGGAAAATCACAATTTTTAATGGGTAAATCCACTATAAATGGCCATTTTCAATAGCTATGTTAGTTTACCAGAGGGTATAACTGGAATCAACAGATTCAGTACATTTCTACTAGAAACCCAGGGTTTCTATAGAGCGATGAATTCACCGTTGGAACTTTGGAATCTTTGGGACATTCACATCAATTCACATCAGACATCAACTTAGCTTGTAGAGTAAGTGGGTGTACATCCCCCCATTCATATGAAACGCCTCGACCCATCTTCGATATGTTTCTTTTTTTTTTTTGCAATCAGAAGTAGATTCAGATAGTTACTCCCCAGTAAACTAAGATAAGTATATTGAAATTGGTCCATTCATAGTAAATTTACTAATTAAAATGGTGATTTTTCAGTTCGCTATGTTAGTTTACCAGAGGCTACAGATAGTTTGAACATGATCATTTGGACCATGCAACTCTAAAAAGCTTCGCAAAAAAACCCTCCAGTTTCTTCAATCTCAGCTGACAATGATAGACTTATCAGCTCCATAGGCTGGGAAAATGTTCCCGTTTGAATGGAGCTTTTGATGGCATTATCGAACTGTGGATTTTCCACCGGATTTTCCCACCGTTGCCAGGTGAGAAAATTCCACCGGAGGGTCAACTTTCGATGATTTCAGATCCTCAAATCCTCGAACATGACTGTGGCACGGCACGTGCCGCGACCAGGAACCGCCCTTGACGCCTCTCTCAACTTTGAAGCCCATCCTTCGAATCGTGATGCCAGCGCAGTGGGGAAACCCACTTGTTTCGCAATGGGCAATCCGGGATTCACCTGGCCGGGGGATTTTGTCAAGATCATCCCATGGATCGACTAGTTGTGCTTAGTAACTGGGGTTATACCCCAAAGTTATAATTCAATTATAACTGGGATAATCTTTTTCCACAATTATCCAATTATAACTGATGAGTCCCAGTTATAATTGGGGTATAACGGTATAATTATGAATTGGGGACTCAGGATGTGAGCTGGTTTTGTGGTTTTGGGCCCTCCGTTTTTTTCGGGCCCTAATTCTGGTGCCGATGTCGCGGAAAAAAACGTATTTTCTTAGCACCCAGTTTGAGTTGTGGAAAAAACCATAGAGGTGAGTCTTTAGAAACATTAGAAACAATTCTCATTTGATCGATGTATCTATATTATCTATCTACCCCCCTTGTGTCCTTGTGTCGTGTTGAGAATAACCCTGCTAGCAGGCTGGAAACCCGTCTGTTGATATTTTAATTTATCTTGATTGTAAAATCAATGTTGTTTTTTTTAACACAACAACATACAACAGCCATTTACAGGAAAACATTTATTACGGTAAAGCCATATCAGATTTCCAGGTAAAATATGGTACCCTGGTTGGTGGTTTGGAACATTTTTTATTTTTCCATATATTGGGAATAGCAACCCCAACTGACGAACTCATATTTTTCAGAGGGGTGGCTCAACCACCAACCAGATCATTATTAACCATTAATATTATCCATATAATAGCCATTAATATATTAACCATTAATATTAACAGTATATTACCAACCAATGGCAGGCTTTTTCACCACCAACCAGATATTTTTTATCATATAGAAAATCACTATAAATAGAGATTAACCTTGAGTAACCATGGAAATCAGATCATTATTAACCATGATTAACCATATAATAACCTTCACAAAAACCCATGGGAAATCCCATGAAAAAATCCCCAGTTGAACGATCTTCTTCAGGTACGAGTTCTTGGTCCAGGCCTCGGATCAGGACATGCAAGGAGAGCGCTGTAGGGACACTCAGGGGTAGCCTCTGGCGATTTGTTACATAGCTATGGTATAGATGTAGCATTTTATAGATGTTAAATCCATTTAAATCCCAGAAATCATGGGATTTCATGAGATTTCTATGAGATAATTGGTAATTTAAGGGAATTTAAGGGAATTTAATCACCACACATTGGAATACTAATCCCTGGGAATACTATAAATGGTGATTGTTCATGGAATTTAACAACTATAAATGCTGATTTGATGGTGATTTGCACTCTGGTAATTTAATATAGCTGTGGAATATGTACCATTTCTAGATGTTTTACCTATTAACAATGGTGATTTTCCAGTTAGCTATGTTAACATTTATTGTAATGGAAGATCCCAAAATGGATGATTTACCCCAGAAACATAGGTACCCAAAATGGATGGATGGTTTATTTCATGGAACATCCGAAAATAACATGGATGATTTGGGGTAGCCCGTATTTTAGGAACCCTCCATTTCGAGATAGCCGACACTCATTCAAGTAACAATCTAAAGTGGGGGGGCATGAAAACCAAAGATATTGATACCAACGGTAAAAAACTCACAAAAACATGGGACTTTTTGCGGATGAACTGGAATCAACTTCGACTGGATGTGAAAGGTACATCGAATTCACCAAAAAACATGTGCCATGTTTTTTTTATTTATGAATAGTACTAACCGACTAACCATCTTTTCCTGCAGTTTTTTTTTCTTCTAACCATTAGACATACAAAAAGAGCAGGCTATTGGTCTGGTTTCATGTGGGCTTCATGTTGGACCGTGTTGGATGGGTTTTGAACCCGGGGATATAGCCTCAGTTGGCAATGTTCAGAAGGGGGGAACTGAGGTTTTGTGATGGTAAACCAGAGTTTCTCCGGTGTTTCCCCGTGATCACTCAGATGGTCAGGGGGTTTAGATGGATTTAATTACCAACCTTGGATGGGGTAGAAACAGCTCTAAATGGAAAATAACAAGAACATAGCAAAATGATGACATATTTTTGTGCTATTAATGATTGACCATGTTTAATGGGTTACATAATTTTGAACCAGGCTAAATCACGTGAAATCCTGTTGAATCAACTAATTATCAACTTCCATGAATGTGCCAGAATCACTATACAAACAGGTAACGGTTAGGATTTGAGGAAGCCCAAACCAGCAACATTTCAGGCTGGTAAAGTACTATCATTTTGCCAGACCAATCCTTTTCTTGTGGGCTACTGGTGAATCTGGCTTCCGGTCGGGGGAACCCTTGAAAAATGGGATGATGGGGGGACATATTTGGACATTTTTTGGTTGAAAATCTCGAGAAAGCCAATCATTTTTTCATCCCTGAAATCAGGCCCAAAATTTTGTGAATTTTTCTAGGATTGAGCATCAGTTGAGCTGCTTTACGCTTTTTTGACCAACAGGATTTTCCTGGAATTGCTGAGGCTTCATGAGTATGCAACAGGAAGGGAGCTGTCGACTGTGTCACTTGGTGGCGTCCGTTTTTTTTCACTTTCGATGATTCCTCAAACGTCTGGGACGATGTGTCGATGATTTAATTTACCATTCAACTAAGAGTTTGCTATGGTATAGATGGACCATGTATAGATTACTTACCAAAAAACAATTGTAATTTTGACCAGTTCGCTATGTTAGTAAGGATGATCTATGATTTTTTTTCCTTTATGTCTGACGACCAACATGCAGCAAAAGAACATGTTTTCTGCATCCAAAAGATTGTTTTCCTGAAGTTTTCCTGTAAATTTTTACTGAAAGCAATGTTGGAACTTGGGGAAGCGGTTAGTAGTGGCTAACTATGCTTAATGGTAGTATAATTCGTGGTGGGGGTTATAAACCAACCTATAACCAGGTGGGCCCATCTTGTGATACGTCTGACATGCGGCTTGCAGCTTGTTGCAGTGCCCAAAATACCAATGTGTAAATTGCTAAAACCTATTTCTACAGGGATGATTACAACCCCCCTCCCCCCAAAAAATAGTCAGTGCAAGGATGTAACAAGCCCCAAAAAGAGAGAAACGTTGGACACTTGAAAAATATGGGGAACCGGATGGGAACCGAATCATGTCTCTCCACCATCCTGGTTTCATAGATTTTCAGCACCCCTAAAAAGGTCCGGTAAAAATCGCCATGAAACTTGGGCAAACATTGGAACCAGTTATGATCTTCAGGGGCTTCCAACGGTGTGGACCTCTGATCAGGTGGTGTTCCATTTTTGCCGCACGAAGCCTGGTGCGTGAGAGACGCTTGGTTGTGCGTAAAGCACGGCTTGCCGGGGTTAAAGATACCCCCCTTGATGATCTGAGATACCCTCTGGTATGGAAAATCACCATTGTTAATAGGTAAATCAACTATAAATATGGGCCATTTTCAATAGTTATGTTAGTTTACCAGAGGGTAGTCATGGTTTACATGGTCATGGAAATAGTAGCTAATTCATCTACTTTCATGGATGGTTTTTCGTGGCTATCTTAAATTACCAGAGGGTAGAGTAGACATCTACAAAGGGCTAATTTCCATCGCTATCTTAAATTATCAGAGGGTACAGTGGATGTTCTTTTCCCACGGGTTGATTAATGGGGGGGGTCACCCCCATTGAACAACCAGTAGGTAAATGATATATATATATATGTACGTATATAAATGGTTTACCAAACTGTCCCCTCTATTTTGCCCGAAAAGGACATTGGTGCTAGGAAATAGCTTGACGTACTGTATGTTTTTTATCACCCAACATGCTGGATGTGGTTTAGCCAAAGCCATAGTCCAGACCCAACTTTAGCAGTTGGCATATATTGTAAGCCATAGACCATAAGCCATAGACCATAGGGGTCGTATTGGTGGGCATTAGTACTGGGTCAATCCCACATGAGAAGAAAGACACAGATAAAATGCCTTTTCTGATTGATCTGATTTGTTATTGTAGTGTTCTCTTTTTTTTAAAATGGGGTCCATACTACATAAGCCATCTCATTCGACCTCATGACGCGCATAAATTGTGTGCATATGTGGTGGTTTTCATAGTCCATGCACAGGTAGATCGAAGAATTCCCATCCTGAAAGGTCTATTTGGACGAATCTGCAGCTGGAAGTGTGATCAATGGGAATTTCAGGATCCTAAAATGGAGGTACCTACCATATATAAGGCCTATATAAGGCCTATGTAAGGGAATATCACCACAAAATATAGCTCACTTTGAAATTTGGGTCGGGCGTGCAATGGCAACAATTTAAGTGTTGCTGCAAGCATGTCGCATCGCTTTTTCGAGGGGCCAAATGGGAATTGACTTCGGCCCCGTCATTCTGCGGCTGGACAACGGGGTGCATTTGCATCCGATTTGGCAACTTCTGTCGAGTCCAAACCGGCGGGTGATGTGATGGATGACTTGGGTTTATGGCTGACGCGTGTCCATCATATTTTTTTTTTGCTCCATATTATATATATAGATATACGGTTTATATACGTATACATGTTTTTTTCTCGTTTTTTTTTGGGGGAGGGGGTGGTGCTATTTTTTAAAACATATCTTTTTGGGGGTTCTATATATTTGTTCGTTTTTTTTTTTTTTGTGGGGGATTCATAAATCTTTTTCCACTCGCGTGAGTCGGTTCGGTTCTGTCCCATCCAAGAAGAGGGATAGGTTCTATTGATGGTTGAGTCGGCTGCCGGGAAGTTGATGTACCCTCTGGTAAACAAACAGTTTGCTGTTGAAAATTGTCATTTATAGTGAGTTTTCCCATTAAAAAATGTGATTTTCCATAGTTATGTTAATTAGTTTACCAGAGGGTAGCAACTTTTACATTGAGAATTTGGATCTCATAGTTGAGCAGTGTGCAAAAAAACCCTGTTGGTTGATGATTAGTATGATTAGTTTGCGGGATTCTACTACCCAGTATTTTGGGATTAGAATACTCCAATAGTGGGGTCCCTTTTAACTAACCAGTTCCATTTTCAGCAGGAATGAATGTTAATTTGATGAATTATCCAATCTTATGTAACAGTAGCAACCAGCCTTATGTTAATTTGATTAATGCCAACATCGGATTAATCAACCCCCCCCCCCTGGTAGGTCAGTCGGACCTTCTGGCTAGTTTTCTTGACCGCCCCTTAATAATAAGCAACTCTGAACCAAAAAACTTTGGATATGGCTTACGTCAATTAGATCTTAATTGAATTCTATTGGATTTGTTAAAATCTCATGGATCAGAAAGGTGGTTGATTAATCGGGGGCAAACCATGGTTATTATTAATGGGGGACATGGGCTCATGGGGGGTACCCTTTGGGAGCTATCCAAACTGATGATTTTTATAAAGATTTTAATTAGAAATCGATCATTTGGGGAATAGTCATTTTTTGAATTTTTCAATGATCAACTTAAACCTTAAGTATAACAATGATGATTAAACAAAAAGGTAAAAACAAATTGGAAATAAATAGAATTGGAAATAAAAATTGTTGGATAAAAATTTGATTTCAGCACAGGGGGTTGATTAATACCGCGGGTTTATTAATCCTGGGGGACCACCTCTTTTTAAATTACAAAAAAAAAATTGGGCAGAGGGGGTTGATTAATACCGCGGGGATTATTAATCCTAACTTGGCATTAGTAGCAACCCCCATAGGAATGGAAAACTCACCATTTGATTTACCCTTTCGTAAACTAACATAGCTACGAAAAAACATCCTTTTCAAAAAGTTAATTCGACTATAAGTGGCCGCTTTCAATAGCTATATGAAATCACCAGAGGGTAAGCCAGAAATCTCTGAAATTGGTCAGTACAAAGGCAAGTAAATGGGGGAGCAGTTAGCCCAAGAAAGTCTTGTCGATAGCTAAGGGTCACTTAAAATTTATCACTCAACGTCGCATTGACCTCGAACCAGGGGTTCTGGAACCAGGAAACAATGATTCAACTGGGATGATTTAAAATTACCCTCCGGTAATTTAACATAGCTATTGAACATGGCCATTTATACTGGATTTTCCCATAAAAAATGGTGATTTTCCATAGTTATGTTAGTTTACCAGAGGGTACCAACATCTCAAAATGCCATGAGTAGCAAACATGACCAGCTTTGGTCCAGATCGCCCAATTTTGACCCATCTTGCCTGCGACCGATGGAAAATGATCGCCGCAGTGAGTTTTGCTGCATGAACAGTTGAACATTGGGCCCCAAAGGCCCCAAACCAGATTTTTGTTTCCTATCATGCTTTATATCATGATGCTCATTTTGTAAAAAAAAGATCGCATTTTGGATCATACACATCTCCACCCATCAAACCATCGTGTTGGATGAACTTTCCATTTCTACTTCAAAGCTCGATGTGAAAATCGGGCTGTAATTGACAACATTGAAAACTCTCGGAACAAAAAAAAAGCTTTGACCCTTCGATGTGTAATCATCACTTTTTGGCCTTTTTTTCATAGTCGAGTCGGCCCCAAAACGATGATCAGTATAAAGGATGGTAAAGTGCAGGCCGGGGATTCTGACTGGCTACAACTATGGGATTTTAGAGCCCATCATTTGAGATATAACCCCTATTTTTTCAAGGTCGTTTGTCACCACTTACCAGTGGAACTGCAACCTTGACCCATGGAGTTGTTCCTAGGAGTGGAACCGGAAAAATGCCGCGGAGATCCAGTTTTTACCCTCCAAGATCATCGAACCTGGGAACCAGTGACCTGGAAGGGGCAACCCTTGGAGAGTTTTTTCTTCTTTGAATCTTTAGCCAGAAATGGGGCTCAATAAATAGATTGAAATACACATACATACACATACTATATTATATACACATAGAGTTTCACTATAAATATATATATATATAATTCCTTTTAGTTATTATTATATATTATTATACATGGATTAATTTATTATATATATAGATTTTATAGAAGATTCACCCAAAAAATATTTCCAGCGTTTTGAGGAGCAACACATATCACTTGAGGTGGCGGTTGTGTCGGGTGGTTGACAGATGTTGATGTTGGTGAAACATGGATGTCAAGAGGCGATTCAAGCTGAAAAAACATTGGATTTAACATGATTTCACCAATCAATCCATGATTTCACCAATCAATCATCATTTTCAATGGAAAATCACCATTTTCAATGGGTAAATCCACTATTTCTATGGCCATTTTCAATAGCTATGTAACAAATTTCCAGAGGGTATATATATATATCTGGTTGGTGGTTTCAAACATAGCTGGATTATTTTCCATTTCATATATGGGTTGTCATCCTGAAGCCATTGACGAACTCCATCATTTTTCAGAGGGGTAGGTTGGCCCCCACCAATCAGTCATGGATATCTTGGGGAGAAGTGATAAGGAGAAACCAATCAATCAGTCATGAAACCACCAATAATGGATATCATGGATACCCTTTGGTAATTTAACATAGCTATTGAACATGGCTTTTTTTAATGGGAAAATAAACTATTTCTATGGCCATTTTCAATAGCTTTGTTAAATTACCAGAGGGTATTTTTCAGAGGGGTTGAAACCACCAAATTTCTTTCTTGGAAGTTGATCAACGCATTGGAAATTCAAGTGCAGCCAGTTTAGTTCGTCAAAGACCCCAGTCGGTCCGACCGTCAAAACCCTGTGGGTGAAACATCACCCTCTCTTGTTATTGTTGTTGATCAAATTCTCATCTCGAATCACCTCAGACCCCCATTTTGTGTAGCTAAATCCAGAGTTCTCCCCCCACAATTTTCCATGTGTCAAAGAATCCCCTCTACCGTTCAAAGTTTTCCTTGTTATTTTGCTCGTGAAATCCTGAATTGTGTTGGTGGCATCTCCCTTGGGTAAACACGATGCATAGTTTAGCACATCTTCACCTCTTGTTTTTCTAATGGTGCTGTTTATTAACGTATTAACCTAACCACCCAAAACTGAGAATCTAAAAAACTTGTTTCTTTTGCGTTGTATCTCAGAAGGGCCGTGTGTTGATGAACCCATTTTGTTTCCAGGTACAGCATCTGGGTGGTGGTCACGAATCCTCACTCGCGTGATGCGCTGGATGCTCCGCCGGAGACCCCGGGACCCCGGTCTTCGTTGGGATAGCCCTACAGGCCAAGTTGGGCTCCCAAAGCATAGCTAAGTTGGTGAACATCACTCTAATAACTATGGTTTATGATACGCAACTTTTTGTGAATCCCCCAATAGCACGAGCCACACCCAGATCATTTTCATGTTGACAATTTTCGAGTAAAAAAACTCATGTGGGCATTCCCAGCCTGATTTTGGCGAAATGACGGAAGTTATTTTGAGCCAGCAAAGGCCGAGATGCTTTAAAACCCAACTTTAACAAGTGACCTGAGGAACCGTTTTTGCCGTCAAGAAACGGTTCCTCAGGTCATCTGTTAAAATTTGGTTTTAAAGCGTCTCGACCTTTGCTGGCAAAATGACGGAAGTTGCACCATCTATGTCCCAAAAAGGGACAACTCTGATGTCTTTCCTGGTGGTTTTGCCTCCTGTCTGGGGACAACTCTGATGTCTTTCCTGGTGGTTTTGCCTTCTGTCTTGGGATAACTCTGATCGATGTGGCATATTTTGGTTGGGTTGGTTGATGGATGTCGGGAGATATGAGGGAGTTGCGCCATCTATGTGGGCATTTGCAGCCTGATTTTGGCGAATGAGTGGGAGTTGCGCCATCTATGCCCAAAAAGGCAGCTTGATGTTGAGAAAAAACATGGGGAGAAACCAGCGCAGTGCCAATTTTCCACTTGGGTTCGCCCCGGAAAACGGACCCCACCAAGTGTCAAGTTTCCTTTGGCAAACTCAGGAAAAAGCCACTTTTCGGGGGACTTGGTGGGGCCCGTTTTCCAGGGCCAAGCAAAGTGGCAAATTGCCAGAGCGTAGAAGATTGCAAAAAATAGGTCATTTTCAGGGACATAGATGACGCAACTCCCACTCATTCGCCAAAATCAGGCTGGGAATGTCACATAGATGGCGCAACTCATTTTCAAGGTATTGCAATGCAATTGTATTTTTTTTTTCAATATATTTTTGTCAAAATATGTTGAAAAATGAGATTTCTATCATTTCTATCCATACAATTCTGTCTACAATCAGTTTTAAAACATTCAGTGGTTCATTTACAAGGTATTGCAATGAATTTGTTCGAAGATTTGACTGCGATTTAAGGGACATAGATGGCGCAACTCATTTTTGAACCCATCGAAAAATAATTTTCTGGCGTTTGAATGGGATTTAAGGGACATGGATGGCGCAACTCATCTTCAAGGTGTGGCAATGAATTTTTACAAGTGTTTTTCCAATATATGTTTGTCAAAATATGTTGAACAATGAAATTTACATCCATCAATTCTGTCCACAATCAGTTTTAAAACCTTCAGTGGTTCATTTTTAAGGCGTGGCACTGAAATTTTGAAAGATTTGTATACGATTTAAGGGACGTAGATGGCGCAATTCATTTTTGAATTCACCGAAAAAATGATTCTGGCGTTTGAATGGGATTTAAGGGACATAGATGGCGCAACTCATTTTATACAATACAAATTCGTGCAATTTCACCGTATATACAAACAAAAATGATAGGAAATGTAGTAAATTTAGTTCACAATACCCTTATATCCATCTACTGGAGTGGCAGTTGCGCCATCTACCTTTTCATTTTAAAGTAGGGCGATTTTTTCTTCAATTGGCGGACCTCGTTTTATGTTCCAGCTAAAATAGCGCCGTTTTCTTTCTCAGCGCGCGGTGCCATCTTATGGGTATTTTGGTTTTTGAGTTGAGCCATCTACTTTTATTTTAGTGTATAGCTATATTGCAATTTATAATTGTAATATAATATACTACATTTATAGCAGTATAACTATATTTATGTTTATAATTACTTATAATTATAGCTATAGTTATATATAATATACTATCAAACTATAAATAACTAGATGAAGTAAAAAGTAGTTATATTTATACAATATACATCCAGAAAATATAACTATAGGGTCAGCACAATTATAGCAATTATAGCACTATAGACTATACTATAGTTTACTATAGTTATTATACTATTAGTTAGACTATACTCTAGTTATATATATAATACTGATAGTTATGACTATGGTTATGATATACTATATAAATGTCTATAATATACATCTATACTTATATCAGTATTATAAATACCTATTTTATATAAATATAAGTATAAATGTCCATAGTAAATCATTTGAAACAGTCGTATAAAAATACAAATAATATAGCTACAACTATAGTTATAAAATATACTATCAAACTATAAATAACTAGATGTAGTAAATAAGCTGGTTATTTAACATAGCCATGGAAAATCACCATGCTATTAATATGTAAACCATCTATTTCTATGGGCCATTTTCCATGGCTATGTTAAATAACTAGAGGGTACATCTATATAATCTGGTTGGTGGTTTGGAACATTTTTTATGACTTTCCATATATTGGGAATAGTAATCCCAACTGCCGAGCTCATATTTTTCAGAGGGGTGGCTCAACCACCAACCAGTAATATATTCACATCTATCTGGGTAAATTATAACGACCTCACTGCGACCTCACTATAACCATAGTTACTAAGGGGAATCATCCCAAAATGGCCGCAAGATTCAGGTTAGTGAAATATTATATTTTACCCAGATATTATTAATATACCACCAACCAGATATCATATGTATATTATAATCCCATCATATAACCATATATAATCATATATAACCATATAACCAACTAGAGGGTACATCTATTTAATATACTCATAGTATCTATAAAGCAAATGTGGGGCCCCCCCAGTTATAAGTACCATAAACATCCATAAACCATAGTTATTATGTCACCAACTTAGCTATCGTTTTTTGGGGCCCCACATTGTATGAATATCATATGTATATTATAATCCCATCATATAACCATATATAACCATATATAACCATATATAACCATATAACCATATATAACCATATATAACCATATATAACCATATATAACCATATATAACCATATATAATCATATATAACCATATATAACCATATATAACCATATATAACCATATATAACCATATATAACCATATATAACCATATAACCCACATAATACTGATAGTTATAACTATGGTTATGATATACTATTTAATATATTCATAGTATCTATAAAGACATCCCCATTTTTCGCGGTAATACCCAGAATTCCCAGAATTCCCAGGGTCAGCACCTGGCTGATGGAGACCTTCTTCGGTGAGCCGGTGCCACCGGCCGTGGCACCCTTCGGCTACTGGCTGGACTACGTCGTGGCACCAGGCGGAGATTTTTGGGAGAGAAATTGGACGAAAATCATGGGAAAATGTGGCAAAATTGGAAGAAAATCATGGGAACATGATGAACATGTGGCACCATGGGAAAATCATAGGAAAACGTTGCCAAATTGTGGGAAAATCATGGAAATTCATGATGAACATGTGGCAGAATCATGGGCAAATCATGGGAAAATGTGGCAAAGTGTGATAAGTTGAAATGTATACCAACGGGCTACACATTCAACTTTTGGCAGGGTACTGGGTATCTAAGATTGGCCATGGATTCCTGATTGCAAGTTCTTGGAGAGATGTTCATTCCCCCATTCACCAAAGGTTTTTTTTTTTTAAAAAATGACATTACATAAAGATGGAACATATATCGGAACTCTATCACGTGCGTCCTTTTTTTTTGTGCTCGTGAGGAATTTGTTTGCTTTCCGGCGTGAATGTTCTCAAAGCGTCTGCATGAAAATGGACGAATGTGTAAGCGAGACCCGTGCTGCTTCTGGTAGAAACTGGCGTTCATCAGGGGATCAGCCGTCTGTGTCATGCACCGGGCAGTACAACGGTTTTGGTCTAATGTTGGAACAACCTTGTTGGAGGTTGGGTGATGGTGAACACAATTGTCATTTGCTACACAACTTTTTGTGTGGTTTTGGTGCCAATAAGACGTTTTCTTCCAGCCAAGACAATGTTTTGCTGTTTTGCCGTGCACTGGAACCAATCGGAACAGGGCTCAGCTTGAAGTTGCTTTTAGGAGCCATCTGGAAGAAGGTTACCGCCTTAAATAAGGAAGAGAAAGAACACTTCTATCAGGTCCGGAGGTGTTACTGTGGTGGATTGTTTGGAATGAAACTTGTGGTGTGCAGTACAAGGGCCATCCGGACATGTGAAATGTTCGAAAGTGGGAGTTGCTTCAAAACTCGTTAAATCTCGTTAAATCTGACGAACAAATCAAATATCCTTTAGATAATTTCATGGTTGGTTCGCTTTCCCATCCTTTGTTTCTGATTTTCCCTTTTATGACCTTTTGTTGATACCTCTGAGTGCCTTCGATACATTTTTTTGCTGCTTACTCCTGGAGCAAATCAACGAATTCATGTGCTGTAGAGATGTCATAGGGTTTCCCCACCGGTTTTCCACATGGTTTCTTAAAGGGTGAGATCCTACCTATTATGATGGAGAAACTTAGATAGCATATTTTATCCCATGATATCCCATCATATTACATCGTTCGTTGTTCATTGTGTAAAGTCATTATATTCCTTTGATGTACCATTAACATCCCATTGGTATCCTATTAATACCCATGCTATTTCACGATATCACCATTCATTCACAACTGTATATCCAAAATGTCGTAATGTTCATGGTATTTTGGTATTTCCCATGGAATTTGTGGCATTGAGACGAGACGTCAGAGACGTCTTGGTGCCGTTTCTGCGGACAGGCTACCGTATCTCTGGCTTGAGCGAGTTGACAGTGGAGACGCCGGAGGCCTGCGATTTCGGGATATCATACCCCAAGCTCGCTGGCTGGTTTATTTCATGGAAAATCCCATCTAGAAATGGATGATGAAATAGGGGTAGCCCTATTTCAGGAAACCACCGATGTAACATGTATATCAATATATGTATAATATATACATATGTAGGACATGTAATTGTGATTATGCATATGTATATATATATATGTGATTATATATGACATATGTAAATGCAGCTAATAGATATGTTTGTAATACATCATGTTACTGTGTTTAATGTTAGAGTGCATATATATATATATATAATATCATCGACACCGTGAATCCATGGATTGCATGTGACCCAAATCAGTGTGGGCTTATCATCCAGAGAGTGCGAGTAAGCCTAGGTCAATCGGGAAGGATGTGTAGTGCTTTAATCCGTTCACTAGTCTTTTGGTATCTGGCTGGGATTATCTACGTTCACCAGATTTTTTGATTTTTCCTTTTTCTTTGCAGGGTATCTGGCAGATTGGCCATGGATATATAGTCAACCTATGTCAACCATATTAGATAGTGGATAGGTAAGTTGTTTAGCTAAGCTAGCTTAGCTGCACCACTTGATGGTGGATAGATCGAAAGTTGGGATATTTCGGCAGTAACCACCGACCAGCGTTTTTTTTTTTGGTTGGTCCTTTCACAGACAATATTTTTTTCACTTCTTTCCATCTCAAAAAACAATACCACGTGGCAGTGGACAATCCCATGTGAATTGGAGGTTTTTTTTTGGGCCAAAAAAAAAAACCTATAAAAAGATGCTATTCCAGTACCATGTTTGATTACCGGATACCCAGAGGGTACCCTCTGGTAATTTAACATAGCTATTGAAAATGGCCATTTATAGTAGATTTTCCCATTGAAAACAGTGATTTTCCATAGTTGTGTTAGTTTACCAGAGGGTAAAAGTGGGGTGTAAGCAATAATGCAAGTCAATGGTGGTTTCAATTTACGTTCCATCCCTACGAATGAACTATCCCCAAAAAAGTAGTGGGTCCAAGCTAGAAATGATTTTGGGGTCCCAATGAAGTATCTCAATGTTCCAGTTTTTTTCCCTGTCAGAATCATTGTCAATGATGGTTACACACCAATGTGCACCCCAAAATGTTGCCATAGTCAAATGGTAGTTGTCGCCCCGGTCCTAGTGGGGATAGTACATGCCGTTACATGCCCATGAATCCTCATTAAATCCCTATTTTACCGGACAGATCTCATATAATCCGTCTGAAACCTCAATGATTTCGCATTCTACTCGCATGAAAAATCCCCTAACCATGGATTAATCACCAGTAATCACCATGAATTGTGGATTTTTGCTGCTTAAATCACCATTTTCCATCAAGTCGCTATCATTTCTCCACGATTCCAATGATCTCGACTCGTTTTCGACCATGTATTCCAATGAAAAAAGCTCAGAATAGCCTCCAGTAAACTACCACGGCCATGTTTTTTTTTTTTCGCCCATTTACAGAAGATCTCCCTATGAACCTATTAAAAATGGGCGATGTTCTATAGTTAGGTCTCAGTTTCACTTGAGAATGGGACTCCAATCCATATGATTCGATACAGGATGGGTTTTGCCCAGTGATGTGAACGTGGGTTTATAAACCATGAAATAATCCCCATGAATACTATAGTTATATCAATGTTATATCTACCATAAACCATAGTTTTTTCAGCCACTTATAAACCAATATATCTACCATAAACCATCATTTTTTTCAGCCACTAATGTTCACCAACGGTTCACGCTATCGCTCGACTGGGGGCCCCATCCTGTAGTTCTGTGAGTTTCTCAAAGGGCGATGATGGCTGCGGCCGAAGTGTCGCCAGGCCCGCGACGGTGGAAGCTTCGTGGATTGGGTCACCTTCACCATGCTGGGGCGCTCAGATGGGGAAAATGGAACTGATTGGATTCGTTCAGAGATATTTCATGATATTTCAATTTTGATTCCTATGAAACACTGAGTCACTGGGACTTTTTTTGGCTGGTTGGTGGTGACTGGAACATGGCTGGATTATGACTTTCCATATATTGGGAATTTCATCATCCCAACTGACGAGCTCATATTTTTCAGAGGGGTTGAAACCACCAACCAGTTGGGATTGGAATGAGATTTTCATGGGACTCTAATGGGTTGATAGGTGGTAAACACCGAGATGATTTTCTTGGGGTTTATCATCATCCCAAATTGGTGCAGGATTTCGCAACATTTCGCAACCATCCACAGTATTTCATGATATTTCAATTGGTTTTCTGGGTTTTGTAGCTGAATTTTTAGGGGAGAACCCGAAAAATGACAGTGGCTGATCATCATTTTCCAGCTGAGGATGAATAACTTGAGGGTATGTCCCATTGACATACCCGTATAGACTCTATAGACGATATAGAAGCTTGGAACTAAGTTCCAAATTGTCACATGACACCTGAGATTTTTATTGGTTCATGAATCTCGTGAACTATATCTAAGATGTATACAGTATGGCCATTTTGATATGGCTTCCATGCTAGATGTTCAATATACATGATTATCATATAAAATAAAATTGATATTATTCAACAATGGTCAAAAATCAGAAACAGTTCCATTTTTGATGGATGATGTCTGATGATTTTTGGTGTTGTAGCCCTGTTTTAGTCTGGGCTGGTGCAACTGGTGCAGCCACATCTCAAGCTGCAGGCGATTTCCAGATCTGCTGCTGCCCGGGGTCGGGGGCCCATCCAGATGTGCAAGTGCTATGCCATGTGAGGAGTAAAACTAATGGTTCTGGGTAAATTATAACGACCTCACTGTGACCTCACTGGAATCATGGTTAGTAAGGGAAATCATCCCCAAATGGCCTTAATTCAGGTTAGTGAATTATTATAATTTACCCAGATGGTTGAATCGCACCCCCAAAAAGTGTTTCTTTCTTTTTCCCTGATTTGAGAGTGAGAGATAATTAAGGTACGTATATGTATTAGGATCATTTGCCATCTTTTGCCCGGATTCAGTCAAACTTCCTCGATTTCTGTGACGCAATGTTTGGGGTATTTAAGAGCTTGTCCACCAACAGCCACTGATAAGAGCGAACTTGACCATCTATTATTGGAGGCATATCACCTAAGGGTAACACAGACGCAATAGATGTGGAGGTTTCCTGAAATAGGGGTACCCCTAAATCATCAATTTTAATAGGATTAATTCTCCACTATAAACCATCCATTTGGGGATCCCCCATTTATGGAAACCCCATATGTAAACATAGGTTTGGTAGATTCAGTGTAATCAATGGCCATTCCAGGAACCTAAATTGGAGGTACCTACCATATATAAGGCCTATGTTTCAGGGAATATTCCCCCAAAATATGGCCCAAAATATGGTACGTTTACGTACCTCCATCTGTTGGATCCTGAAGATCTCCCATTGATGTAATGAGCCTCTCTCGAGGGTCCCAAGTTGTCACCATTGAATCATCGATGGGTCGAATTTTGGCCCTTCACAGCGATGGGGCCCCCGTTCGAGCGATCGCGTGAACCGTTGCCTGATTTTTTGTGGCTGAATTCTATGGTTTATGGTAGATATAACGAACTAGTTAATGGGGGTTATTTCATGGTTTATAAACCCACAAACATCACTGGGGGGCCCCATCCTGCAGCTTGCGGTGACATATCTTGTATGGCCATGTGTGGGTCAGACACTTGATGTTGCGGGAACCGCCAAGATTGGTGATATTTTCTGCATTCAACGAAATTTGATTCTTCGGATGATGGGATGATATGGGGCTCTTTGAAAATAGGGTAATTACGGTATCCTAAAATCCATTGGTTCTGGGCTGGGTAAATTATAACGACCTCACTGTTCTCCCTCACTATAACCATAGTTACTAAGGGGAATCATCCCCAAATGGCCGCAAGATTCAGGTTAGTGAAATATTATAATTTACCCAGATTGGTTTATCCATCTGTTTTCCCTTCCGCAGATGGCCATGGGCCATGTGGGGGGAAATGATCCACTGACACAGCCATATTTTTTTGGGACATCTCCTTGGTCACGCCATGTCACGCCCCATTTTCATCACTCAACAGTGATTTTTCTGGGATACCATCTTGTTATTTAACATAGCCATGGAAAATCTCCATTTAGAATAGGTAAACCATCTATAAATGGGCCATCTATATCATGGCTATGTTAAATAACCAGATGGTAGTTTCAACAGCAATGCACAGAGCTCTTACTCCTTGTCACGTGACAGCAAAAGTGTTTTCTTCGGTAATCTAACCTGGCAATAGAAAGTCTCTATATATTTACAGTATCTACGGGTATAGTTCCATATCCAGAGGGACTTCCCCTAAAGTTAAACAATATTCTTTGTCGTTTATATCTATATCTATGTCTATATCTACATATACATCCAGTAATATATATATAACACAATATATTAATATATATATATATTAATATATATATATATATTAATAATATATATATATATGATATATATATATATGATATATATATATATCATATAATCATAGCAACCTCCAAAAAGATAGAACAATAATAATCTTCATCACTTTTCGACATGTTCGATCAGTCGCCATCCGTCTCCTAACAGGATTTGATCGAGATCAAAGCACCTCCGGGATATCAGCTCTCATATCTCCAACCGGGATTTCAGCCCCTTGGACATCTGACAGAGGTGGTTCCCCCGTTGACGAAATCGCGATTGGTTTATAACTCCAATAACTATGGTTTATTGTACTTAGAACTATAGTATTCATGGGGCTTATAAGGATATATCTGGGTAAATTATAACGAATAACCCCATATCTGGGTAAATTTCATCACGACCTCACTGTTCAACTGTTCACCGAACCCTGGAATCATGGTAAATGTAAGGGGAATCATCCCCAAATGGCCGCTACTTTCGCCGACCCATGTAACTATATGTAACTATCATAAGCACCATCCATCTGGATATCTGGTAAACCGGCTGATTTAAGGGGATGGCTCGGGCCGTTTGTTGCCCATGAATTATTGTGAAATCATATGACTGGGGGAATGTGAAAATACCCTCTGGTAAACTAACATAGCTATTGAAAATGGCCATTTATAGTGGATTTACCCATTAAAAATGGTGATTTTCCATAGCTATGTTAAATTACCAGAGGGTAAAGATTTCAGAAACATCCACTAACCAGCTATGACTTAGGATACCAGATGGTACCAGGCTTTTGACTCATAACCATCTTTAAGGTGCCAAAAACCTATTTGGCCCATGTAACTATTGTCGTAAGATGTCATACGCACCATCAATGCGACTAAATCTGGGTTATGAACCAACTTAGGCTACTAAATCTGGTAAACCAACTTAGCCAATGATGCTTCCAGTCTGATTTTGGCCCATTTTTTCGGCACCATTTTGATGTGCCGAGAGAGGCTGGTGGTGTTGTGCTACGGCTTCCGGTGGATTTCCACCATTTGGCCACCTCCCTTGCCCCCGGATGCCGGGACCCCCGGGAAGCCCGAAGTTGGGGATGCACTCCCGAGTTCTGGCAGTCAAATACCCTCTGGTTATTTAACAGCTGCGGTATAGTATCAACCATCAAAACTAGTGGTTTTTGATGGGATAGAATGGGAAAATCATTGGGAACATGATGATCTATACCCTCTGGTTATTTAACATAGCTATGGTATAGATGGCCCATAGAAATAGATGATAAGAATGATGATTTACCTAGTACAAATGGTGATTTCCCAGTTCGCAAACCGTTAAATAACCACAAGGGTATGATGTTTTGATTTATCTGAAGACACGATATCATATATAAATAGATATTATGATACATGTAAATAAAGATAGACCGATGACATCATATAAATAATAAGTGTTATGATATGTTATGATATGTCATGATATGTCATGATATGTTATGATATGTTATGATACATGCAAATAAAGATACAGAAGAACCTATAATGGTGCAAATTATGTTTTTAATGGGGACACTGAGGGTTTAAGCCAGCGCACATATTTTTGGTACCTCTGGTATTTTCAGGTACCAAAAACAATTTATTTGGATCCCTTTAGATGTTGGTTTAGCCATCCAACAGGCAAGTTTGGAAACTAACATACCTAATGGGGCACCACTTGGGTTGACAAAGGCACCACTTGGGTTGACAAAGGCACCACTTGGGTTGACAAAGGCCAATCCTTCATTGGAAGAACCTCAATTTTCTGAGTCGATGATGTTGTATTTTCCCAATGGGAAATCTACTACTTGGGGAATCTATAGGGAATATGTACTTGTTATTTTTTGGTTCCTCAAGCAAATCCACGACCCATAACATGCCCAAGTTGAGCGAGGATATGTATGTGTTGACATAGCTTTTGATTGCCGCGTCTAGAATGAGCCAGGATTTCAATTGAGAAAGTCCATTGTCGATTCTATTCCGAGTCCAAACGCTGACATCGCTTTTTCGTTGATACTCCATTTCTGTGCTCCTCCATTCCACACACAACATTCACAAGATGTTTGTTTTCCTCTTCAGCGCAGTCCAGCTTTGATATTCCATCGGGGTAGGTATACCACCAACCAGCCATTGTTGCGTTGTGTTTTCCCAGTATTTGTAGCTTTTGGTCCATCTCATCCCAGACCTCTGTGGAGAAACCAAACACGGTCATGAGCCAATTGCTGCCTATTGTCATGACTTGCTGCTTCGACATAAGCTTGATGATGTTGATCACAATGTCATTGAACTTTATCCAAGCATATCCATTTTTTGGCTTCTAAGATCACTACTACATCCCATCTAATCCCAATGTTTGGTGAACTTTTTTTTGTCCAACATTCTCTATTTCATTGCTCACATCATAGCTCATCCCATTTTTAAACATGCTGAAAGCAGCATTTTCTCCAAAATTTCATCCCATTGTTTGCTTCTTCAAATCTAGGCCAATCTTGGATGGGTAGAAACGAATCCTTTAGTCTTTTGGTATCAATGGGATTCTCTACTAACCAGCCAAGAATCTTCCATTTTTTACAGGGTATCTGGCAGATTGGCCATGCATTTAGTTCCGTGATTTTCCAGCCGCGGTTACCAGAGGTCGGAAACCTGGACGGTGAACCCTGGTGAATTTGTCGTCATGGAATTTGTCGCCATCCCAACTTCTGGTGTTCCCAAAAACAACCGCCAGGTCGATCCGGACACAGTGCCAATGCACCTGCTGCCGATTCGGCCGCCGGAACGACCCCCAGTGCCTGAGGCGTGGCCAAAAATGGCACGGGGGTAGCGGCGATCGTCCCAGTGATGAAGGACCAGGACTTAGTATTGAAACCTACGTATGGTAAAATGGGTATCCCCCATTTTAGGACACCTCCATATGGTTTATAAATCGTAAATTATAGTGACTAACTTTTTTTAAATTGATCATAAATTGACATGAATTGGTGTTTTGGCATATGGGTATGGGTCAAAATTAAAGACCTAGGCGACCACAGATGGCTTAGTCTCGTTTTAGTATTAACATGCATTAACCATCCATTTTGAGGGGTACTCATTTTGACACACTGCCAGTGCTGCAACCCACAAAGGTGGATAACGTGTTAGTTAGGGAGTGAGTTCGGATGTGAGTTGGATGATGTTTCCTGTTACTTTTGTGAGTTAGGATCTTTAGGATGTTTTGGGATGTTATAGGATGCTAGTTCATATAGCCTTTGGTTATTTGACATAGCCATGGTATAGATGGCCCATAGAAATAGATGATTTGAAACATGTTTTACCATGTTTTACCTAGTAAACATGGTGATTTCCCAGTTCGCAAACCGTTTAAATAACCACAGACTTAGTTGGGATGTTCATTTCCAGGTTTCCAGGTTTCCAGGCATCTGAGGGTGCAAAAGCGAGAAAATTTGGGACATGTTTCGAATCATCGGGGACTTTATACCTAAGGATATACCCGGCCTGGTGATGTCAACAGTTTGCTATTGAAAATGGCCATAGAAATAGTGGATTGTCCCTTAAAACATGGTGATTTTCCTATAGTTTTGTAAACGTTTACCGGAGGGTATATCAACTATTGATAACACATATATCAACTATTTATACAATTTATGGAGAATGGTGGACTCTTTACCCAAGGATCACACATAACGTGGGGAAAACCATGCCATTTTTACCACCCATGATTGGGAATGGTAAACTAGCACATAAAAATGGTGATGACTGGGGCATGGTGAACATGAAATTGTTTTACCTACATTAATGGATTTATATATATTTATATATTATGGGATGAAATATGGGTAATTTATAATTCATATACTCATGATCCACTGGGAATTAGCCACATTAATGATCCGCGATTTACCCTCTGGTAAACTAACATAGCTATGGACAATGGCCCATAGAAATAGATGGTTTACCTATTAAAAATGGTGATTTTCTATAGCTATGTTAGTCATTACCAGAGGGTAAAATTTAAGGGAACAGCTACCAGGAATTCATCTAGCCCTAGCCACGTGTACCACGCATCTCGATGCTTGACCGGCTCTGAAGAGAGGGCGGAAAAAATATTCCCCGGACGACCAGGAATTGCACCGTGTTTTGACCATGGCAACTCTGAGTATATGATGATCCAACTTGAAACATGGTGATATCTTGGGGATTCAATCAACAATATCCTCATCATATTTCCATTATATCAGCAAAAAAACCCAGTATATCCGTCATATCCTCATGATATCCCCATGATATCCCCTGATCTTGTCTGGTTGGTGGTTTGGAACATTTTTTATTTGTCCATTCAGTTGGGAATAATCATCATCCCAACTGGTCCTAACTCCATCATTTTTCAGAGGGGTAGGTTTAGTAGTATACCACCAACCAGCCATGATATCCCCTAATCTTGTGTTTGACGTTTGAAGTTTGCGATTGTTAACGAGTCATGCTGCGAAGCTGGGGGAAAGTTATATGGAAAAATCGCTGGGATTCCTTCGGATTGAACCCACCAAATTTTGGAGGTTTGATCAATGAATACCCTGACAAACTCAATTTTCAGACAAGACTCATATATATGTTTGGTAGGGGATGGGTCGATTTTTCCATTGGGGGTGATGAACATCTGAAAAAATCTGTGCTATTCTGTGAAGAAAAGAGCTGTCATGACTCATAGCCATCTTTTGGATACATCTTATCTCAGTGGGATCCGAAATGAGGAAATACCCGGACGATGATTCAGTGGGATTCTCCAGAAATGGGATGCGTAGTAAATGGATAAATGGTGAAGCAGATTACAACGGTAACGTCAGATTATAGATGAGATGGTATAAAAAGTGAACATGCTACCCCACAGCTACTCCACAGTATTGGTTTCCTAGCTATAGAACATTACCACTTAGTTGAATGATTTCCATAGGGTAAGGCGGAAACCTGGGCTTGGTTCATACTTGGTGGCTCATCCCACTTAGTAAGTGGTTTATAATCCAAATATATAATCCCTATAATCCATTACAATCCCATATATAAGTCAGGATATTCCATTGTTTTGTTTTTTTGAAAACCCATTTACCAAGTGGCATGGAAGAGTTCTCGTGCAGGGCGTGCCCACGTGGGCCAGTGGAAATTCAGCCGCGTGGCAAGCGATTTGGATGTTTCCTAAGTCATGGAGGTACCCCAATAGCTGGATTATTTATTTCATGGAAAATCCCAATCTAAAATTGATGATTTGGTACTACCCCCATGACTTAGGAAACTTCCATTTATGGGGTACTGGGTGATATTTGGCAAATTTGGTAGGTGAATGTGGTACACTATGATTATATACAGCAACCTAATGTAACCTACCAAGAAAGTTCATGACCATTTTCATCATTATGTTCATTGGGAAACTATGTTGGGTATGTGGGGATGATATATACATACATATGGCAAGTTTATGACATATCAAATGATTATTATGATCATTTTTATATGGCCTGGCAATATATTATAATAACCCCAAATCTTATATGATAATTATGGTTATATAATATATATAATCATTAGGTTGTTATGATCATTAGGATACCGGGATACCTGAAATCAAGCCTGAGATGTCCTGGAGCTCAGGACCTTACTTAGCCAGCTCAACAAATCCCAAAGGCTGAACAATGGCAAGGTGCCAAAATTGATTCTTGATGAATATGTCAGTTGAACGATTTTTTTTCCAAACTTTAGGATCTTGTTGGTTAGATCACCTCGAATCCATGTTTGCGCTTCAAATCGCCTTGAAATGCTACATAGTCAGGCTAAGTTGGTTTAGAATCCCCATCAAGTACTTGATATATCTTGATATATCTTGATATCATGTGATATCATGTGATATCTAAAGACTCATAAACCATCGAATTTATCTAGCTATTAGCTATCATAGAAATTCGTGCCATTTTTATGCCTTCGTTAAGGTCCAGGTCACATACTGTCACCATCTGCCCAGAAATCACCAGAAATTCCCTACAGGATGGGAGGTTTCCGTTCGAGCGAGCGATTGCGTTCAGTTGCCTATCTTATCCCTGATTTTTGTGGCTGAAAAAACTATGGTTTATGATAGATATAACTTATATAACATGATATAACATGATACCATAAACATCCATAAACCCAGTCAGAATAGTTGGTTTTTGGCAGCCCCATGAACTATAGTATTAATAGACAGATCATGATTTTTATCATGATAAACATGATTAATAACGAACTAGTATTGCCTGATTTTTTCTGGCAGAAAAAACTATGGTTTATGATAGTTGGTTTATAAGTGGCTTAACAGCTTAACAATGCTTTATGGTAGATATAACTATAGTTAATGGGGGTTATTTCATGGTTTATAAACCAACGTTCACATCACTGGGGCCCCCATCCGAGGTCCTTGAGATCGCCCCTACGGAGCTGTCGGATGATCTGCAGTGGGCTTGGGATGGCGCCTGGGTCATGAGGCGTGGACGAAAATGGCTCTTCTTTTCTGGGATTTTCGTGGGATTTTCGTGGGATTTTCATGGGATTTCATCGATTTTAATGGATTTTCATGCGGTGTTCGTGGGATTTTGAGGAGAGTTTAACCATCAGACATGGAATTTTTCCATGGGATTTCATAGAATTGGTCCAAGAACATGGAGATTGAACCAGAAATGAAGGGGATGAAGATGTGAAGATCCGTAAATCCCACCTATTTTGGGGTGAGAAAATCGGACCAGGTTTTGACTTGTAGCCATTGGGTTTGTCGAAAAACAGGGGAATTGACATGTGAAGAATTTCTAAGCATCGAAACAATCATCGTAATGGTTTGGTCCAAAAATTGGGGATTTGTTGCCATCAATTGCCGTTTTGTGGGTTGGTTTGAGTTTTCCCTTAATGATATGCTGGGAAACTTATTTGACCTCACTAAAGATGAGAGTTAGTAGGGGAAGTCATCCCCAAATCAGGTTGGTGAGGTTGTAATTTTCCCTAAATCAGATGGGTATCATATTTGGTTGGTGGTTTGGAACATGACTTTTATGACTTTCTATATCTTGAGAATGTCATCATCCCAACTGGTCCTAAGTCCATCCTTTTTCGGAGGGCTAGGCGAAAAACCACCAACCAGATATCGTCATATGGGGATGGGTTTTGGTGGGATGAACATCGATAACTCATATGACCCTTCTTGGTGTGAACAGATGGTCATATGGGGATGGGATAGCCGCTATAGCCTCTGGTAAATGAACGCAACTATGGGAACAGCAAAGCATTAGTATATAATTTTAATAGGTGAATCAACCATATTTATGAGTCATCATCCCATATAGCCAAAGAAAACTGTACCCATTTTTTCAAACCCGGCTATATATAAGTTTTCATGCCTTTGTTCGAGAGATGTACCGTAAATCAATGGGCATGCACCAGGAACCGATTGAGGACGGAGGTACCGATTCCATAGAAAAAAGGCCTGTTTTTTATGGCTATGGTAAGGGAAATCCCTTGCAAAATATGGGGGGTTCCTAAGTCATGGGGGTACCCCCAGTTATCATCCATTTTAGTAGGATTTTCCCTGAAATAAACCATCCAGCTATTGGGCACCCCCATTTATGGAACCCTCCATATTCATATGACCAAAAATATGGTACAGTACCTCCATTTTAGGATCCTGAAATCTAGGTCAATCTTGGATGGGTAGAAACTAATCCGTTCACTAGTCTTTTGGTATCTGGCTGGGATTATCTACGTTCACCAGCTTTTTTGTTTTTTTTCCTTTTTTTTGCAGGGTATCTGGCAGATTGGCCATGGATATACAGTCAACCTATGTCAACCATATTAGATAGTGGATAGGTAAGTTGTTTTGTAACTATAACATAACAAAATAGGGCAAAACCATTTTTAATAACACTAGGGCAGTTTTTATGCCATTTTTCATAAGCCATTTTATAATTTAATATTCCCATTTCTCATGGAACCAGTATTCACCATGATTAACCATGATTAACCATGGAAATCCCATGAAAATCCCATGATTTTTCATTGCCATCGACATCCACGGCACATTGCGAAGGATGCCGATCAACTTCACGGCCGCGATCCTGAATGACTACGCCAACTTCCTGGCACTCATTGAAACTCGACAGTTTTTTTTTTCGTGCTGCAAAACAAAAATATGAGGATCTAATCAACAGAATTTTGGTATTCTTTTTTTAAGGGGATATATATATATAAGGGATCACTAGTATGAATGGGATCACTAGTATGAATGGTGGATAGATTAGGGATAGATTGAGGATTTAGTATTATATATATAATGGGGATCGCTAATATGAATGCTGAATGCTGTTATTTGTTTGGGGGATAGATTGGGGATTGAGTTAAGTTGCTGTACCATACACTTGGAATCCACATGATGTCTTCAGTTTTATATCATTGGATTGTACATATTCTACTTGTGGAAATTGCGGAAACTTGGGTGGAACATGTAGAGATTGTAGAAATTGTAGAAGATCTGAGACTGGATAGGGCTGGATTATCAACCAATGTCGACTGGTGGTTCATGAGAATACAACCCTATAACCATCCAAAACAAAATATCTACCCAACAAAAACTGGATGGATTGGATTGCTATATGCCCTTAAGAATATACGTATATATTTTTAAAAACAGCGTTTTTGGGGCAGTTTGAAAAGATTATCAACACCACATATCGAACCAATGGTTCTCAACTGTCAACACATTCTTCAAGCTATAAGATGACAGGATAATATCATCTGGGGAAATGGGTTTTAAGCGAGCATGGTGGGTATTATTCATGTAGGCTAGCAAAATTACGAACTCATCTAACTGCTGATGGGAATACAATGAGACACAAATCGGTTTTAACAAGAGTCCCGAATCCGCCATCAAGATGAGCTTCAGCACAACTGGGTTTTATAACCAACAGACATGGAGCAAATTTACCAAAGGCAGGGAGATGTTCACCAACAGAAAGGAAGAGAAACCACAAGGAGAACAAGGTATCACAACTCTTGAAGGTACTGAACACACACGCAAAAAAAACAGATACCGTCCGGTCATCAAACGTGGCAAATTTCGAACATCAAGTTTATATCGCGAAATGATCTCTGAATCGTCGTTTTTTTTTAAAACGAACTTTTCTCTTTCCGAATTTCAAGGGGTTCATGGAGTCGAGTGACTCGTTGACCTTAGGACGGCAATGATAGCAACTACAGCAACTTGCAGGGAACCTCAGCTGTGTCCGTCCTGACATCCTGCCCGAGGGACCTAGGTGGTCTAATCATGTCTGACCCTCCAAAACAAGACCCACACGGCTTTATCATCTCTTAAGTAGGATGAACCACCAATGACCAAGCAGTTCGGAGTAGTTCCACTACTACTCCACTGGTACACACGGTGGTGCCCCCCAGTCAGAATAGTTGGTTTATAAGCCCCATGAACTATAGACATATCATGAATGATCATGATATCACATGATATAACGAACTAGTATTGCCTGATTTTTTCTGGCAGAAAAAACTATGGTTTATGATAGATATTAAACATGATATAACATGATATCTGTGTACCATAAACATCCATAAACCAGCTCGGCAAATAAGCCCAGCTATCGTAGGAGGGGGACACCGGAGGGGGACCTTGGATACGTTTTTTTTCGGCCACCTTCGAGCACTGGGGAGCATTCATACAGACCAGATACTAGTTCCCAAAATAACACATATATATATATTATTATAAGATATAGATATACAAATATATATATATATATATATGTCATATATATATAGAGTTCTACATACATTGCAGTTTACAGCCATGAGACACTGCGCAACGCGCAGGTCGGCCAGTGACTATGTGGCCCCTGGAGGGCATGGAAGCCTGGGGGACTCCGAAGTGGTCATCCTCCGGTGCTTTCTGCTGAAGCCATGGCCATTGGTACCCGGCCTGGTAAACATACAAAAAACTATTGAAAATGGCCCATTTATAGTGGATTTACCCATTAAAAAAAAGGTGATTTTCCATATAATGGGATAAATGTATATATATATGATGGTATATAATGGGATATTCGATAGATAATGATATACCCGGCCTGGTTATGACTCACAGTTCGCCATGGTATAGATGGCCCTAATCGAAATAGATGGTTTACCGAACTTAAAAATGGTGGATCTTTCCATGGCTATGTTAAATAACCAGACGGTATGATGCAAAAAAAGGGATGAAAGATGTCTTATGATAATTAGGGTATGTCATATTTAGATATATTTAGCCATAAATATCATATTTTATCATCATAATGTCATAATAATGGATTCAGTGAATTTCTAAATTCATTATTATAACGATGATTTTCATTATTATTTTCCCATCATAAATCATCATATGTCATAATTTTCTGTCTGATTTAGAAATGTGATGATTAATTAATGACATTATTATGATTAATTATGACATGATGATTAATTTTAGATGATTATACCCTATGGAAATTTATTATTTTATGTTAACATACCAGAGGCTGAATTTTAAACAAGTAAACCTGAATCCATAAAGCCGATTTCACAATTCCTGCAGGTTATTCACTTTTCAAGAACGAACTTGAACATTTCCAATTTGGGTTTGCCGCATGACCAACTCCAACTCTTGTGAGCCGTCTTTGATCTTACTTACCCTCTGGTAAACTAACATAGCTATTGAAAATGACCATTTATAGTGGATTTACCCATTAAAAATGGTGATTTTCCATAGTTACGTTAGTTTACCAGAGGGTATCAGTAGCGGCCATGCCTTGCTTTTCTTGGGTTGTTCATGATTCTATCCCCAAGTATGGTATCTGCATTTGCCAAGTTCCGGATCAAACATCTCCATGAATATCCATGGGTTTATATTTCAATCCTCGTAAAAAATGGATAAGATCAGATCGCCAATTTTTCTTGTTTGTTTTTTTTCTGCAAAGCAACGGATATCAAAAAAGATGCATTGAACAACGGCCCTGTGTTTCATCGTGTTTTCGTGTGAAGCAGATTAAAAGCCGCGAAACCGCGTGAACCTTGGTGACGTGTAGCTCAACAGATTACTGTTCAGCCATTCTGATAGAGGAATACCCAGATTTCCAGCCAACCTGGTTGATGGTTTGGAACATGGCTTTTATTTTTCCATTCAGTTGGGAATGTCATGATCCCAATTGACGAACTCACTCCATCATTTTTCAGAGGGCTAGGCTTTTTCACCACCAACCAGATCATTATTAACCATTAATATTATCCATATAATAACCATAAATATATTAATAAACCATTATTAACCATTATTTTATCCATATAATAACCATTAATTAATATTAACCATAAATATTAACAACCAGCCCGGTCTGCTTACCATGGCAGTGCCATAAAATGTCACAACCAAATTGGACCATCCTTTTAAGTCACGATGGGAAGAAAATATCGCCATGTTTATAGGGATACCTGGCCTGGTCAACGACCACAAACAGCGAACTGATAAAATGGCCCAGTCGAAATAGTGTTTTTTTTTTTTCGCATGAATAGCATGGGACGATTTTCCAGTTCGTTATGTAAACGTTTACCATTACTGGTTGGTGGTTTCAAACATGGCTTATTTATTGTCCATTTCATATATGGGTTGAAAAATCCTGAAGCCATTGACGAACTCCATCATTTTTCAAGATGGTTAAAACCATCAACCAGTATATATATATATATCTGGATAAATTATAACGACCTCACTGCGACCTCACTGGAAATCATTGTTAATAAGGGGAATCATCTCCAAATGGCCCAACAATTCAGGTTAGTGAAATGTTATAATTTACCCATATATATATACACACTCATGATTTTGGGATTTAGGGATGGATGTTATTTCGCCACTGCGTAACATCTGCCTGCGTACCTTCACCATGGCACTTAACCGCATTTCGCCCCCAGGGTGACCTTGATGCAACGGATCGGATTGTGACTCGGCAGCACGTTGGTAAATCATCCCATCCCCCTACCCTCTGGTTATGTCAAAATAGCTATTGAAAATGGCCATAGAAATAGTGGATTTTCCCATTAATAGCATGGTGATTTTCCATAGTTATGTAGACGTTTACCAGAGGGTAATATGAAACCATGGTTTTTGTTGGGGAATTTCCACATTCCATAGGAACCACATATTATATGGGGTGTTTAATATTAGGGGGATGGGATTACATTTGATGGGAAAAAAAACAACTTGGTTTCCTAGTTTTGTTTCATGACAAGTTTTTTTCATATGTTTTTGTCCTATGCAATGTCTCTTGAGAATCGACAAGTCCTATTTTTGTGTTTCCGAACAATTGTGGCCTCTGGAGAAGTTCAATCCATCTTGAAACGAGCAGCCCCCTGAAATCTAGGTCAATCTTGGATGGGTACTTTAATCCTTTAGTATTTTGGTATCAATGGGCATATCTACCAACCATCTAAGAATTTAACTTTTTGCAGGGTATCTAAGATTGACACTGAAATGGTGATTATATAATGGTGATTCATGGGGACACAAATGGGAGATTCTCCAACCAGGTTTGATTCACCCATCATTTTTGGTTGGTCAATCTCCCCATGGTTGGTTTGTTGGTGAACTTTCCTTCTATGTTCCCATTTCCAATTGATCCATAGAAATCCATAGAAATGGAAGCATCATGAAATCCATTTGAAATCCATTTGACCTCCGAAGAACCGGGGATCTTCCGACAAAAAGAAGAACGGACGGCTTTCCTCCTTGCCAGAATCGGATTAAGGGACATTGCGCTAGTCCATTGCTATCCCATTTCTGATCCATATTTTAATAATTTTAAATATCTATGATCCATATTGTAATATATTATACAATGTATATATATATATGAATATTATGATATAATATATATATAGTTCCACTACTTACCAGTTGGTATAACCAAATTAATTGAATATATATATATATGAATAACTGGTGAATAGAATCATGTAAGTTCCACTACTTGGAGGATCATAGGATCATCCCACCTGGGCAGATTGAGAAGCCCAGGCATGGAGACTTCATGCCTAACAGATGTGGCTTATATGTATACATAATATATAATATATATATATACATATATATATATATATATACATACACATAATCTCCTCTATATCTCCATGTTTGATGAATTATAGTTATTATAGTTCCCATTTTTGTTGGTGATATCTTACACCTTTGCTTTGAGTCAACTGCATGGATAGAGTACTGATTACTGTAGTAGTTGCCAATCTTTTTGCTATAAATAGGGGTACATTAAAATAAGCAGCTACACCGTTCTTTTTGGTTGGCCAGGAAAAAGTGAAGACCTCTGAGAACGTCGTGTTTACCCTCTGGTAATTTAACATAGCTATTGAAAATGACCATTTTTAATGGGAAAACTCACTATAAACGGTCATTTTCAATAGCTACGTTAAATTACCAGAGGGTATGTGTTCTTTCTTTTTTTGCCCAAGTTTTTGGATACGCGACCTTGTCACTTCTAGCCATCTCAGTGGGCCAAACATGGAATCTAACATAGCTGTGGCAAAACCACCATTTCTACCTGAAGCCACGGATACGCCCTGGTAATTTAACATAGCTATGGTCTATCACCAGTATTCAATATTCTTAGTACAGGATGGGCCCCCCCAGCTATAAGTTGGTTTATAAACCATGAAATAACCCCCATGAACTAGTTCGTTATATCTACCATAAACCATAGAATTCAGCCACAAAAATCAGGCAACTGAACGCTATCGAACGGGGGCCCCATCCTAAGCCATGGTCCATTCGATTTGCGGGCGGTCGATTTTCGTAATTTTCCCAATGGGAAATCCAGAAATGAAATGGGGTAATCCTGGGAATATTGGGGGTCCTTAAGCAAATCCAAATGTTAGAAGCCTATATAATATATATATATATATGTATAATATATATATATGTATAATATATATATATATATATATAATATAATATATATAATATACATATATATATATCATTCTGATTCATCCCTACACAACCCATAAATATGGTGAAGTCCCAAGTGATTTCCCAGTAAATCACCATTCTTCTTCGACAAAATCTCGATTTTCCATGCTTTGAACATGGGTCAATCCTCAGGCCTGAATGGGCGGTGCCAGCAGCGGCCCGTTCACAGTTGTTGACCATGGGCAACGACACGATGAACGTGCAAAATCCCAGATCTGAAGAATTGCTACAATTTGAGAATATATTAAAATAGTATATCATAACCATAGTTATAACTATCAGTATTATGTGGGTTATATGGTTATATATGGTTATATATGGTTATATATGGTTATATCTGGTTATATGATGGGATTATAATATACATATGATATTCATACAATGTGAGGCCCCCAAGATAGCCAAGTTGGTGCAAATAACTCCAAGAAGTCTATGGTTTATGGTACGCAAATAACGAACTAGTTACTGGGGCGAATCTAAACCAACTAACATCACTGGGGGGCCTCACATTGTAGACATGGGGGACTCATGTGGGTAATTCCCAATGCCATTTGCCAACACCATTTGCCAACTGGGTAACCATGGGGAATTCTATGGTTCATGGTAGATATAACGAACGAGTGAGTGGGGTTTATAAACCAATTATAATCATAAACCATCCCCCAGGAAAATCACCATCAATATATAGGTGGTATGGTTACCATTCCCAGTCATGGATGGTTTATAACATTGTTTTGCCCAGATTCATGGGGATATTTTGATATATCTTGTAAGTAGCAGACAAGAAGCTGGGTAAGATCAAAACCCATGGCTGATTGGGGATTTAGGAAACCAAAAATCACGGGTTTCAGCCACGAACTGTGGGGAGTGAAGCATCAACATTAGCAGTTGCAGGGACGGTCAGACAAATCTACAGTGATTGAACAAACAAGAATTGATATATATATATATAACCAATCATATAACCAACAAATACCAACAATAGGAAATGGGGATTTCACTCCAGGTTACGGCAAACTTAATAGGGAAAATGGTGATCAATCAGTGGATGGGATTTGATACCCTAGTTTCCCAAGAAGCATTGCAGTGACCAGATGGTTTTATGGTATACACTATAATACTAGTATATTGCAATCTTATGCCATCTTATATAATATATATATATATAATTATAAAATTATCTAATTATATATATATTTATATATATATAGATCCCAATAATATTTATACACGATTTTGTGCTACTATCTGTTGACGAAATCTTGCCTCCAAACTCATGGCGTAGACGCGGCAACTTATCAAAACTCGGATTTTTTTCTTGGGCGTCTTGATGCACTGTATATATAGCGGGCAACACGAGATCTTTCAGGCTATATGAATACTCTATATGTTTCCCATGACGGATCCATGGTGCTGGTATATATGTTAACATGACTGGGGTTTATATAGACATATTAGGTTTATATAGAAATTTAGGTATGATATTTCTTTATATAAACATATATTTGGGAATACATGTATATACATATGGAATCATAAAAAAGGGGGTTTCCTGAAATAGGGCTACCCAAATCATCCAAAATTTTGGCCATCTTAATATTGAACCCATTAGTTTTGGGGTACCCCTTATTTTAGGGAAACCTCCATATATATATCATATATATCATATATATCTATATACATATATCCATATATACATATATATATATATATCCATATCCATATGCAAATATATGTATATATACATATATTTGTATGTGTGAGAATAACCAAACTATACCGTTGGGATATTTCAGTTGAACTTCTGAACCCTCAAGCAGTGCCCGATGCCTCCGATGCCAAACGAGGCGTCCACGGAGTACTTGGTGCTGCGAAGCCACTGTTTGGACAAATTCGCACAGGACGGAGGTGAGAGAACCGTGGCCGCCGCACGGACACCGGGGAAATACCCTCTGGTTATGTCAACATAGCTATGGAAAATGGCCATTTATAGTGGATTTTCCCATTGAAAATGGTGATTATCCATAGCTAGGTCAGTTTACCAGAGGGTAATTTCCCCGTTTTTCTGGATGAAATTTTTGTCAACGTCTACATAACGAACTGGAAAGATCCAGCATAAAAAAAATATGGGGAAATCAACTATGTCTATGGTCATGTTCAATAGCTATGTTAAATTACCAGAGGGTAATGGATGGGTACCATCATGGGTATATATATATGTATATGCGGAATACTATGTATAGACATGTGATATGACACTTATGTATACACATGAACCAACTTAAAACATTGTTTTTTTTTGCATTCGGTTGATTAACGGCACCCTTGGTTTGCAACATTTGTGGATGCCGGTGACGCAACGTCAGTTGTCGTTGTTTTTTTTTTTCGAGTGGCTGTGGTTACACTCTGGTTATGTCAAAATAACTATTGAAAATGGCCCAGTCGAAATAGTTGATTTATCCATTAAAAATGGTGATTTTCCCATGAAAAATGGTGATTTTCCATAGTTATGTAGAATGTAGACGTTTACCAGAGGTAGTCACCCAGGTTCAGTAGAGCTTCCGAGCCGGGGTGTCTCGCTTGTACATCGCTTGTACATAGGTCTCAAGCACGGCCAGCAATCAGCTAATCACTGGGATGACCAAAAACAAAATATATAAATTGATCATCGTGACTGAGAAAGCGCATGTTTGTTTCTGTCTTGACCCAAGTTTGACACGTCAACACTCTATGTTTCCTTTGCGCAGGTGGGAACCTGATGAACAACGACTTCAACTGGTCCAAGGCATCCAAAAAATGGGGGAGGTCATTGGTGGAGTTTCTACAGGCTAAAATGAGCGACTTCGCCCTGGTTTTTTCGCGGCTAAAATGGTCGAGTGCCCAACCCCCATCCATTGGATCCATGGCAATGGCTCCTTCGGGTCGCTGATAACAGGTGAAACATGAAAAAAACCGCCTGGTGGATTAGTGGATTGGTGATGAAACAGGTCAAATGTACCTGAGTTCTTGGGGATTAATGTCATTTACTGTCCATAATAGGGAAACCGTTTTCAACCAACTAGTATTTCATGAGATGGCAAAACGGGGTAGAACTGTCATGGCTCAGGAAAGGTTTGTTGTGATCTGAGCCATGCAAAATACCCCTATGTCTTGGGAACATTTCCCATGTTTTCAATCCTCGTTTCCAATGTTTTTTGTTAGGTTCGGAAAACCAGGATCTCGTTGATATCTCTGAGATTATGACTTCAGCCTTCAAGACGTTGAAGCTGAAGAATGTGGCAAACTGCGCAAACATGCACCATGCTGTAGTTTTCAGATGCATTGGGGGGGTTATAGATATTATAAGGTTATAAATGAATAATTATACATGATTTTAATCTTAATGTATAATGTAACACAGAGATTCAATTATTTAACCAACAACGACAACAACAACAACGACAACAACAACAACAACAACAACAAGAAGAGGCACCATTGTATTCTTGGCCAATTAGTTGGGTTGATTCCTGGTGCGCTAGGTGCCAACGACTGCCGAATTTCAGGCACTGGGTGAAACATGGGGGAGATCACCATGCTTTTTGTACTACAAGGTGGTGCCCCAGTTATAAGTTGGTTTATAAACCATAAACAATAGTATAGAAAAGATATATCTACCATAAACCATAGTTTTTTTTGTTTCACTAGCGAAATATGGGGCATAGTGATTGATGATACTGGTAGCTGATGCTAGGTGATGGTTGATGGTTGGGTCGGGGATGATAATTACGTCACTAAATATCTTGAGGATTATCATCTCTGGGAAATCCTATTGACCAACAAGTATTTCTAAGGGACAACACGGGTTTTGAACACGGCTCATGTGAGTTTGTCCACGGATGAAAATGGGATATTGCCCCAAGTGAAAAGGCAAATTTATAACACACCATTAAATCCGGGGATATCCTATTTCAGACAATCCCATGTGCGTGAATGAAAATCAATAGATGAGCGGATAGATGAATAGATATGGAGATTTTATATCTACATACAGGTAAATTGTGACATGTAGATCATGTAGGTTTATAGTTTATGCTTAATAGTACACTCCCTTCACTAATTTCCATTGCTGTTGGTTAAATCCCCACTAATCACCAGTAAATCCCATTAAAATTATGCTTATTTATCATGATCTTATCAAAGATGGTTGGTTTTGTTGGCACATCTGCCTCTTTCCAGCTAGAAGCTCGGAGCGTTCGATCTGGGAGGGATCACCAGTTCAGATGGACCCGATGGTCCCGAAATGTCGGTGCTTTTCTCTATGCTTTTCTCTATGCTTCCAAATGGCTTTCCTGGGTAAAAACTTATGTTATATATATTTATATATATAAAATATATCTTTTTGGTGGGTGGCACATGGAAAAATTGGATGGTACAATGGTTGGCGACTTCAAATTTTTGGTTGGTCACATCAACGTCAGCAGTCTTGTTGCTGAACACACATTCCTGAATGTAAATACTGATATATGCATAATTGGCTCTTTGTCTCTCTCTCTCTCTCTCGCAATGTGTATATATATATATATATATATATATTATGCATATATATATGTATATATATTATGCATATATATATATGTATATATATTATATATATATACACACATGCAATCAAATGTCAATATTGTTGGATGGTCTCCCCCATTTCTTGGCTTCAAGTTAAACTCCACAAATATCTTCCCATTTACATTGTTTAAACTATCCCGCCTCCTTAGCTGGTCCATTGAGAACGGAATGGGAGAAAATCAATTTGAAAAGGGACAATTTTTGTTTAAATTCTGCAAACAAATGATGAATCATTATGATGAACACGCATCTTTCCCCATGTCTTGTTCAGCGCCAATCATCAGGGTTGAACCATGGACTAGATTTATTCACCAAGAGTTGATAGATAGGTCATTTTTTTGAGGTCCAACTTGCAGCAGATCGCTAGGAACGGTGGTAACTCCCACGAGTATGTCCCAGGAAAAATGGTGCTTCTAAGTGTTTTACATCGTGTTTACGATGTCTAAGTCCTTCCCAAAGTTCTTAGTTGCTATGCATTTGTTCTACCATGAATGTTACATCATTTTACCTTCAAACACATGAAAAAACATCTGACAAACCGTCAGTGGATTGGTCATCTCAGTCATCTCTCCACTTTCCCTTCAGCCCCGGTCATTCAGATCCCCTGATCCCCTCCGCAGGTCTTCTACGAGGTGAAGAGTTGGATCTACCACAACGGCACGGCGGTGGGAAAACCGGAGACCTTCAACTTCACGGACTTCGTCCTGTCGAAGAATTTGACGGATCCCAGCAACGCCGGGAAAGCACAGATGGGGGCCGATGTTTTGTGGCTGGAGTTGCAGCGAAAAGCTGGAAGTGGCTGGTGTGATTTGAACTTCTAATTTGACACATAGAAATCCCCCATTTTCTTCCAAAAAACTAGTTCTATCAGACAATATATATATACATTGTATCATCCGGGATAACTAGCAGGTCCAAGAGCTGATTTAGAGGCATCACTTCCCTCACAGCCCAGTGATGCAGGTACAGTTGTTACTCCTTATCCCTACTTCTGTTGCTTGTGTACCCAGGAATCTGCGAGAGTTTCTGACTGGATCATGTCATCATGTCCCTGTAGAATTTCGCCCAGTTACATTCAGCCATTATGTAGGGTGTTCCATAAATGCGCGCCCCAAAATGGATAGTTTATGATGGAAAATCCTATTAAAATGGATGATTTAGGGATACCCCCATCTTAGGAAACCCACATGTGATCATTGAATCATAAGTCTTTGAATCTCCAAGAATTGATTTAAGAGCACTCTCTGCAGGAACCTGCCATGCTTTCTAGTCAGGACCACGGGTGTTCTATCATTTTTTTTTGGCTTTGAACCCACAAAAAATCGACAATTGGATTGTTCCCCTCAAAATTCAGCAGGATTTGCCAGGATTTCCATCACTTCACTAGTTGCATCCACTCATTATTCAGTCACCACCTGAAATCACCTACAGAAAAACACGTTGCCCCAGGTGAGCAACATGACCAACGAGAGTGCTGGAATCTCCACATTGGTCGGGGGCCTAAGCAGAGCTCGGCACTCGGCTCAATCGTAATGCTGGGAGGATCACCCCAGGGATCATGTTTGTGGTTATCTAATTAATAATGGCATAGAACCTATCTAGTACATTATAGTATATTGTAGTATATTATAGTATATTAGAGTATATTAGAGTATACTATAGTATATTATAGTATATTATAGTATATTATAGTATATTATAGTATATTATAGTATATTATAGTATATTATAGTATATTATAGTATATTATAGTATATTATAGTATATTATAGTATATTATAGTATATTATAGTATTATATGATATCTATTAATTGTGGTGATCCTGTTTAGATGGGATACCCAGAACCAATGGTTAAAGTTACGATCCGTGAGTCCTCGAAGTAGGCGAATCCTTTTGGATACCCTGTTTGAAATAGTTGTTTCTGAATATCTTTGGAGCATCCCATATTAATCACCATTAATTAATCACCATTAATCACCATTAATCACCATGAATCACCATATTAATCACCATTTTATTTATTTTTTTCGATTTGTTAAAATTGTCGAACATTTTTATTTGTTGTTCCAAATACTGTTTTTTTTTTTTCTTACCCAATGTGCACCCTTTAAGCTCCTTTAAATCGAGCATGGAAACTGAAGAAAGGCTGAATGAACCATGTTTTTTGTTTTGCTACGCAAAATCCATACCTGCATTTATCTTTATAGATGATTAGGCAGGTTGACCAGTTACGTTGCAGATGTTGCATGGGAATTATATAAAGTAAGTATACGTTTTTCATATTGGTGATATAAAAATCTTGTGGTTTGCATATCTCCATCCTCTATAGCTGCATCGTTCCTATTATTCCTGTCGCTGAAGATCGCCCTGAGGCGAATGTCATGGAAAAAACGGTTCTCACCAATTGATGCGGTACCCATTCGTACCCAATCGATATTTTACGGACGTATGTTCCCTGGTTTTTCTTATCGTGTGGTTGTTGCTGTTGCATTACATGAATTTAAATTGATATCCCAGGCACCAGTCATGTGGCTATGAGAATGGGCTATCGTAGCCCTAAATTCACACAAAAAGAGAGGTCCAGATATTCCTTAGGGAACACAGATGAATGCGCAGATGAATGCCCCCCGATTCTTGTCCGTTGTCTTCAGTAGCCGCGTAGCCTTTGTAGAGATACATCGGGATTTTGCATCCTCACTGCGCTTTTCGTATCACATTGATGTTCTGCTTCTGCTTCAGTGAAAGGATCATCCACTTGAAGGATCACCCAACGAGCAATGACTGGCTGGAGTTATGTAACATGTCAATTACCCTCTGGTTATTTAACATAGCCATGGAACATCACCATTTTTAATAGGTAAACCATCTATTTCTATGGGCCATCTATACCATGGCTATGTTAAATAACCAGATGGTATATTGTAAATCAACTTGTACATGGCAGAACTCCATTTGGGGCACTTCTTCACCCGTGTTACTACTCTCAGTGAGTACCCACCGGTATTCAAACGTGGCTTGTTGGAACATTCCCCGATTAGTTCAATGATTATCCCATGAAAACCCTACATTTTTTTGAGGATTTTCCCAGCTAGCCACGTTTGATGACACCAGAGTGTATGTCCATTATCCCAATGATTATCCCAGTTATTACCCCATATATTGTCCCAAACATTATTCCATTCCAACAATTCTCCCAATCATTATCCCAACTATAATCCCATTTAATTTCATAGTGATCCCATTCATCACCATATTAATCACCATATTAATCACCATATTAATGGTGAATTACCCTACGAGTCTACAAGGTAACTGGGATGATCCAATCGCTTCGTCGCAACGTCGCGAGGACGAGATCCATCTCTGCTTCCGCGCCCTGTTCCAAGCCTCGCGCTCCGCCATCGATGGACTGGACGTGGGGGCGCCTCAGAGAGCCGGGGGGCCGTTTCGTGCGGTATCTAAGGGAATTTAAGGGAATTTAATCACCAAACACTATAGGAAAATCCCTGGGAATACGAAAAAAAAGTGATTTATTTCATGGGATTTGACAATTATAAATGCTGATTTGATGGTGATTTACCCGGCCTGGTAAACTAAGATAGCTATTTTTCACATGACCATATATAGCTGATTTACCCATTAAAAAGGGTGATTTTCCATAGTTATGTGAGTTTACCAGAGGGTACCTCTTGAACATTACCAGCTAACATACTATTAGCTGTTGTTAGGTATAGATATACTTGATATACTAACATACTAACATTTACCTGTTGTTAGGTATAGCCTATTGAACAGGGGTTGGTAAATGTCCTGTTTTAGGCATGTTATCAGAAATCCCTTGAAAAAGTCTTTGTTGCTGATTATATCCACAGTGGGGTGATGTTCAATGAGGACATTTGCCAACCCCTATTGAACATGAGAACTTTTAGACATCGATAGCTAACGATGGTTATAGCTAACATACTATGTATTTTCAACATCACCTTATTTGCATATCGCTTAGCTTTGCTATAGGTAAATATCTACAGTATATAGGTTTATCCAACTAACTATAGATATCGGATAAATTTCAAAATTTCCATTCTATCATTCTGAATTTTGGTTGCATCTATATTACAGCTATATTAATTATTGATTTGCCTATTGGGTAATGTTCGATTTTTCTGTTTTGATTGTGGAGGCTATCCTCCAGGAAGACACCGCCAAAGCAGTTAGGATTTCCGCTGAGGAATTGTTCGAAGGTCGGGATAAATCTCCCAAAGGAAAGCCTGGGCCCTGGTATTGGATCCATTCAGTCCCAAACATTGAGGGTTTATCTGTGATATGAGGGTTTCCAAACAAATATGAGTAACCCTAGTTATATCCCTAGTTATCATCCGTGCATAGATAGATTTTCCATGAAGTGGTTGCCATCCAGCGAGCTCGGGGTACCCCCATGACTATGGAAACCATCCCGAATCTCATAGACCGTCCCGAAACAGGTCGTTGTTTATGGCATTCCTTGACATTTTCCAACAGGGATACCCAAGAAAAACCATGCCATGCCATGTCCCGAAACAGCCTCGGTGACTCCTGGTGAACCATGGGAATCCGGGAGAAAAACAGGGTTTTCTGGACAGGTCAACCACGACTGAAGCTAGGGTATGATTGACAATGTATCCCTGGTTGGTGGTTTCAAACATGGCTGTTATTTTCCGTAATATATGGGATAATCCTTCCCATTAACTAATATTTTTCAAGATTGTTAAAACCACCAACGATCCTGTTTTAAAGGAACTGTGATGCTGTACGTTCTGAGAGTTGATGAAAAGGAATGAAAAGGACCCATCCACCAATGACAAACGAGTGCTGATAAGTATAGCGGACGATTTCCATGCTTGAAGCTACCTTCATGTTGTTTGTAGAATCTCCGTTATTGTGAGATATTGATAGATATTGTAAGTAATCCTGGAAACCCCTGAATATCCAACCCGGAAACCCTGATTGAGTATTGGATCTATTCATTTTGGGGGTCCCTTAATGAGGTGTAGTTGCTTCAGACCAGCCCTGTGCCTTGGAAAATATGTGTTTGTGTTTAGCCATTTCTCCGCCGCTGAGGCCGAACAGTTCTGCGTGCAGAACTGCACTGGCAATGCGACAGAAACGTCAGGGGCCTGGCGGAGGGCCGCTGATGGAACGAAGCTACCAGGGACCGGTGAAAAGTTGGTGGATTTTGCAATTTCTGGGAACCATACCCTGGTACAGTGCCATGGAAAACCAACATATTTGGTTGCGATTGAAAATCCCCAAGAACCAACAAGGCAACTTTGAGCACACCAAGAATCTCCGTGGGTTAGGAGGCCAGAAGTGTTGACCTTTTCCTGTGTTCATTTTGCTTGGGACAAGTAGGAAATAAACATGAAGAAGGGCTGCGATTTGATCACTTTTTAGAGCCTGCAAAGTGGCAAACTTTTCATGGGAGTGCCTGGGCGTTGCGCTTGCAGTGGCATTCCAAGTTGGTTGCTGCTTTCATTTTTGTTCCAGATTTTCAATTTTCAATCATTTTTGATGATCCCCACTGACTACTGCAGTATTTTTATGTACATATCTTTTTCCAGGGTGTTGAAGCCACCAACTAGTATATAACTAGTTGCTGCGCAATCCCGAAAACAATGGAAATTCCACTTCTTTCCATGGCAAAAGGCTGTCGCTGCCTACTTTGGACCCCGCAACGAGTCCCTGCTGGGATCTGTGGTCCTTCACAGGCCCCCAGTTGCCGCTGGCATGCTGAGGGAATGTATCGTCGACTGTCTCTTCACACCATTGGTGTCGGACTAAGCTTGGTCGTTGATGGCGGGGTGAAGTTTTTTTCTGTAATTCTCTACATCTCAATGGGAATTTCAGGATCCTAAAATGGAGGTACTGTACCATATAAGGCCATATTTTATGGGGATGTTCCCTGAAATTTAGGCCTTGCATAGGCCATATATATATATATAAGTGGTAGGTACCTCCAATTGCACGAAGTATAAGTGGAATAACAAATGAACATCCACGGTGACTCTCCCTGGGCAGCACGCAGCCTAGAAACCTTTCATGCGTTGTAGACAAGTAAGTCTTGTCCCACCCAGAAACCACATCGTACAAATGTTGCCAACGCACACACACACACATATATGTATGATTATGATTGATCATGTATATACTGTATATAATGCTGTATATTCAATATATATATATATATGTATATGATATACATATATGTGTATGCCGTGTATGCATATGTATATATATATATATATGTATATATATATATATATTCCCATTCTTGTTGCTTGCATCATCTTGCATCGTCAAATTTTCTTGTCCAATCTCCTGGTGACTCGTGCGACTCCCAAGGACCGCAATGAGACACGCTGTGACACCCTGCCAGCTCGGGCCCGAGAACGGGGCTCCAGCGAGATCGTGGGTTTTCCATTGGGCGTTGCATTTCTGTTGTTTCTGAAAAATTCCTGGGCTTAGTCTTCAACTATGCCTGCTACTGTGACATGCCAGAAATTCAACTCAGTGAATTTTTGAAGGATTTACAGCAAAATTCCGATATGAAACAAGGAGATTTTTGTAGATCTTGTATCCACTCAGCAAGTCTCCGTTTGGATGACGTCTCGACGAAACCAAACCCGGCCTGGTAAACGTTTACAAAAAGCGAACTGGAAAATCACCATTTTATAGCTGGGTAAATCCACTATTTCGACTGGGCCATTTTCAATAGCTAATTATGTTAGTTTACCAGAGGGTTTTTTGGGGCTGTCCATAAACCACTGACACTTGCGATGACCTTCGCGCCGTGTTCATGAGGTTGGTGGCTTGCCCGATGGAGCAGAGAGCCTGGATCCTGGCGATGCCATGGTGGATCCCAATGATATGTTAAATCGATATTTATGGGTCAAACATGGATTATACATGGGTTTGTCTGAAAATAGGGTATATTCCCAATGAAATAGCCATTTAATAGGGATAATCATTAACCATTGGGTTTAGGGGTACACTGTTTTCAGACACACCCACATGGTTTACAAGATGTTAAACATGGGTCAATCATAGGTTATACAATGTTATACATGGCTTATAAGAAAAAAATACATGGCTTATACGTTATATATTATTAACATTTAAGTAAATATCTATGAAAATCACTAAGTGGGACTTGTCCTCCGAGTGGAGGCGATGAACTTGGCCAAAATGGTGATGGCGCCATGGCGTGGGTTGGATGATCAGCGATTCTCCAAGCTGCAATCGGTTGCAGGTAACATTATACAATTTGAGTGCTGAAACCAAATATATTCATTGGAACTTTGCTCAAAATCGAAAGCTCAACTAAGCCAACAGCCAACCTTCTTTCCAATCATCATACTGGTTGGTCCAATCTCGAAAACATGAATGGTTGGTTTATGTTGCTTGAGAAGCCTCAATCATTGTGTGTTTTTTGGTGTTGTTTCATCATCCATCCACGCATTTGTTTCTATCGCCGTGGGCGAAATCATCCGTTCCATATCCTCCCCACATATAGGGTGGTTTGAAATGGGGTACTGCTGTCCCAGTTTCAGACAAAGCCGTTTCTTTCCCACTTTTCCTGCTGTCCCTGCTGTCCATGCGTCACAACAGCCTTTCAGATGTGGCGCAGCAATTACTTCCTCCACCCGGCTGTACGGCAGAGGTGCAGCGAGTGAAGGGGACGGCAGGATGTGGCGCAGTTATAAATGGTTATAACCGTAACCAAGTTAGTAAGTGTTTAATAACCATAAAAAGTATGGTTATAGTATGTTATATTATGGGTACTTATATATGATGGTTATATTTTGGTAAGTGGTCAACAACCATAATATAAGCCGGTTATACATAGGATATACTTATATATATATTACACCAATGAGATTTATGGGTTATAACCCACGAAGATCCATCCAAAAACCAATGGATATTGAGATTCGATGAGTCTGTCAAGGGTCAAAAGGGTGACTTGTCGGAACTCTCAAAAATCCAATGAACTCAAGCTATTATCTATATATATATATCTATATTATATCTATATCTGATTGGTGGTTTGGAACATGGCTTTTAATTTTTCCATTCAGTTGGGAATGTCACCATCCCAACTGTTACTCACTCCATCATTTTTCAGAGGGGTAGGGCTCAACCACCAACCAGTATACATATATATATATATGGAACATCACCATTTTCAATGGGTAAATCAGGTAAATCCACTATTTCTATGGCCATTTTCAATAGCTATGTAACAAATTACCAGATATTATATGATATATATTATGATCCAATGATCAAAAGAGACTTGGCTCCCTACTCGAAAGCTGAAGTTCGACCTGACTTCTCCGGCCACATGGATTTCCCCAGCAACCCCTCAGGTGGCAGCGTACAACGAGCTTCTGGCCTTAGGCGGAGGGGGTTCCACAGTCATGGGGCTACCCCAAGCTCGGATGGTTTATTTCATGGAACATATCAAAAAAGGATGATAACTAATCCCCTATTTTCGGAAACCTCCATATATATTTTTATAGTGGGGGTGAATCCTATCATTATCAAAATATCATATTGTTTTGTTTGTTTCTTTCCTATATATATATACGTATGTTTTTCCCTTGTTTTTCTTTCGGAACATATAAGGGGTTTTAGCGGACTTGCACGTTTTAGTTGGCAAATTGCTTGAATAGAGGTAGCAACGGCTCAGGAGCATCAAGATAGAACAGGTGCTTCGACGATGTGAACAAGATGTCTTTACCTCCCAAAACCCAAAATGGATAGTCTGATGCTAAAAAGAGACGAAAACCAACCGTGTAGTTGGTACCCTGTGTTTGACCCTCATACAAAAATAAATATCATGATTTTGAAGTAGATAATGTTGTTTTGCAAAGATAGTCCCATTTTAGTAAGGATGTGTTTTTGAACATTTCATATTCTATCTAACGCAGATGGGTTGATTTGTCCATATACACATAATATTGCAACTACCATATAAAGCAATTATTTACCATCGTTTTAGTGGGATTTTGACCATTTACGATAAAATTATCAATTATATATATATACAGTATTATATACATAATATGATATACTGTATATATATAGTATACATAATATATATATAGTATACATAATATATATATATACATAGTATATACACATTATTATATATAGTATATACATAATATATATAGTATATACAATATATATAGTATATACAATATTTATATAGTATATACAATATTTATATAGTATATACAATATATATATATAGTATATACAATATATATATAGTATATACATAACACACACACACATATATATATATATATACATAATATATATATATATACACATAATATATATATATACATAATATATATATATATACACATAATATATGTATATACATAATATATGAGAATAGAGTGTAGGCTACGGACCGTTGTATATTATCACAATTAGACACTCTAGGATCCAGCACCAAAGGGGCACTTCAAACTGGCCTCTTTGGCTCAAGACCCACTGCAGCACTGGAGTAAAGAACAGCAATGCGGAAGCTGATGCCCGTGTAACGTCATCACCGAAGCAATCACTTCAAACCCAACTACCAGGACATAATCGGACAAACAATCCCCGATTCTCAGGTTATCAGCCGTAGGACTCCTACGGAGCCTACGAGCGGGTAGCCGCGGGCCTTACAGATGACTGAACAGGATAGCAGCGATAATGCATTTTCTTTCTCTGGACATGCCGTTGCACCAGCTGCCGGCACGCAGTCAAATTCTTCACAGAGTATCGACACTGGTGGAAGCGATGCCTCAGAACTGAGAACAAGCCTACCCAGGCGACCTCTGGTTGCTCCTAGAGGGAGACAAATTTCGACAATGCAAGCAATTGAAGATAGGGACAGCACACCTGGAAAGAGAAGATCATCTGCACGACAATTGTCGCCTCCGATGACTCCAAGGACTAAGGCAAAGACTACGTCGTCGAATCCGCCTTCACCGATTCAGGACGCTACTCCATCAGGGACAGGATCTTATCAGCAAGTGAACGCCCCATCGAGTGGTAGCGACATCTTCACTGCCTATCAGAGTGAATTAGCTGAATACAAGACATCACTGGAAAAGGCCACTGAAGAAGAATCCGTACTTCAGGCAAGATTGACCGAGACGACAGCTTATGCCTATCAACAATTTAATTTCCTGGAAAGCACCACTCATCAAGAGATGATGTCGATGACCGAACAACTCCAGATGCTGAACTTCGAGTTACAGGCTGCACAACAAGAAGATGAAGGTGCGACCTACAGGATCGAAGAGTTGGAAAGGTATCAGACTATGTCGAATGAAGCTGCATCTCATTTGGAATTCAAATATTCACGACTACGTTCGGAATTCGATGAACAAATGGGACAAGCGAGCGCAATTATGGTACATGTGGGCGCCGATGCGAACGCTCACATCAATCAACTTAGACTGGAACTGGAAAACGCGGAGATGAATGCCAAGCAGGAAGCTCTAGCGGTCGGCTACGCCAATGATCAAACATGTGCTTTACAGATCGAGATGCTCGAGGTTGCCAATCAAAATCAGACAATGAAGCACACCATGTCCATGAACGTCAGACGACTGGAAACTGAGCTTGATGCTGCTGACATGAAGAGGGACGAGATCATGAAGGAGTTCCGTAGTAACATAAGATCTGAACATGACCGTTATGCAGAATGTGAACATCACTTAGCTTTGGAAGAATCGCAACTTCGATTGCAGGTGATCCACAATGAAAACTTACAATCTCGACTAGCGATTTCTGAGAACAGGGAAGAAGCTGAATCAGGCGGCATGCGGGACATGAGGATCATGGGACTACGTTCTGAACTACACATGAAACAAAGTCTTTTAGATCGGATGCAACAACAACTGACTGAATCGAAGAATCAGTATCATGAACTTTCCTGTCAACAAGCCAGAAGATCATCGCCAAGCAGATCACCGCATGGAGGACCACTATACGAGATGTATATGCAGGCCGTGCGTGAGCGTGACAGCTTGAAAGAATCCAAGGCTGAAGTTGACAAGTTGTACTTGCAGAACAGAACTGAACTCATTGACACTCAGGACCTGCTCAAAGTCTTCCAGCGAAACTTCGATGAAACTGGTAAGAAATATCAAGATGCTCTGAACAAGATCGATCACATGAGCAACAATCCGAATGTGACGAGTGATTTGTTCGACAGTTTGCACAATGAAATCAATGACAGGGACACAGCTATTGCTCGCCTTCATACTGAACTTGAAGCCCAAAAGGATTCTCTTGAGCGTGCTCACAGGGATGCAGGTAAGTCCATCAAGATGTTGAACGACAGAAGACTCGTGATCAAAGGTGCGACTGACTATTCCATTCCTGAAAGCCACTTGACTGAGATGCATCAATTGGCCAATGAGCGTTTCGCTGAGGTAGAAGAGATGTCGAGCACTATTGCTGCCCTGAAGTTGGAAAATCAAGCTCATTCTTCTTCATCAAAGAATAGACCGACTACATTACATGGGTACCCCAGTAATGCTATGCCTCGGAATGAATGTGAAGAGAAGTGTGCCAAACTGAAAGCAGAGTTGGACGAGATGAAGCAAGAGAAGAACAATGAAGTTCGAAATCTTCAAGATGAGTTGAAGAAGATGGAAGATCGGAAAGATTATTACAAGAACAATTTCTCTCAAGCTGAAGATCGCGCCAACGATGAAGAGCAGGAATATCGAGCAGAAGCTGAAGCCTTCGAGAAGCTCAGGAACGAGTACAACACCAATGTCAAGGAGTTGGAGAACCTTGAGAGAGATAGATCCAAATCATCTGTATCTCTAAGAGAAGCCGAAAAGATCAGCCTCCAACCCTGGCCTAAGACCACTGAACTTTCATCATGGAAGGGAAGCGTCGTTCATGAAGTTTGTGTTGCAAGTGGAGATCGAAACTATGAAGATTGGAAAGCGTGGCTAGCTCCGTGTCTTGCAGATCAACCTGACTTGGAGGTCCTAGCCAAAGCACCCGATGTGAGATTCCAATCCATTGATGCCAAGCTCTCCAATGCCTTGAGGAAAGTCATTGACAATGCTGGGGACAAGTCCATGCAAGTGAAGTATGACATGTCCATGAAGAATCAATTGTATGGGAGAAGTGGGGACTTCATCAAGGGACGAGAACTATTCGCAATGATACTGATTAGCTTCAAGTCACCTGACCATACTGAAGTTCTCTACAACGCACATCATTTGTATATGTTCAACTACTATGGAGATGACCAGCTTGAGGCCTTCTACAACAAGTGGCTTGACATCGTATACAACATGAAGCATGATGATCTGCCTTCCAACAATTCCCTGCGTGACACATTGTTCCGGAAGATTGAACACTCAAAGCTTATGGCCTTTGATATCAACCGATACAAAACCTTTGATGAAGGGCATCCCGAGAAGACCTATGTTTACCTAACTGGTATGATCAAAGGATACATAGCAAGAGGAAAGCAAGAACGACTGTTGAAGGATAGAGAATGTGCAGTGAAACTGTCATTGTCCTCTAACAAGACGACACCTGCCTTAGAAGATGCAGACAAGCCTGCCGCTCCCGTCAAGACCAAGAAGGAGAACGAAGCAGCTGCATCGTCTACAGGTGATCCTCCCAAGCGGCCTAAGGCGAAAGCGAAGAGTGAAGCTGCATCTGTACTTCCTACACCTTCTCCGAAATCTCATGCCGACAAGAACAACAAGAAAGGCAAAGGTGGGAAGGGAAGATCATCTTCACCCGTTGACAAGAAGAAGATTTTCTGTAACTACTTCTTCAATAAAGGAGGATGCAACAAAGGCGACAAATGTCTTTACAGTCACTCTCAGAAGGTCTATGATGCCAAGATGAAAGGTAAGAAAGGCAGAAGTGGAAGTCGAGATTCATCAAGGGGAAAGAGTAAAGGAAGTTCGTCTTCAGCTGGACCCAAAAAGAAGGTATGTTGGAATTGGCAGAAGGGTACCTGCACGTTTGGGAGCAAATGTAAATTCCTACATGCAGACCAATCGCCTTCAGCATCATCAGAAAGAACCAGCAAGAAGACACCAAAGAAGAAAGCGACTCCCATTACTATTGACTCCTTCTTTGACAGCGACAATGAAGATTCTATGGATTATACCTCACCGAGGATAGCCAGCGCAAAGAAGTCCTCTGATGTTCGCAGAATCTCTTTTGATCTGGAACCTGAAGTGCACGAGATTGTAATTGAGAACTACCAAGAGGGACTACCCAAACGTATGTATCGTGACCCCAACAAGCAGTATGTCTTCTGGAAGGTCGATGATTTGACCGACGATCAGTCCAAGTCCGACAACACACTTGGTTCAATTCGAGCACGGGCCAAAGCAATCATCATGGACAGATGTGGACTCCATCGTTTTGTTGATGAAGTTAGAATCATTATTGGCCCCAAGTTCGACATGCTGATCAAGCTGGACAACGATCGTGATGACTTGACTTTTATTGAAGAGCTTGTTGAGCACGAAATTGGAAACTCCCTCATGAAGTCCAAGAACATAATGTGCATTTCATTACCAGTACAAGCCAAAGATCGTAGATTCATCCTGGATTCTGGTAGCGGACACGATCTGATTTCTGCAAGGAAAGCCGAAAGGATGAGCCTGAAGCAACGAACTTGTGATCCTATCATGTTCCACACCGCCAACGGTTCAACTGCTACCCAGACGGAAGCGGAGATTGACCTGGGAACCTTTGATGTGACCTCTCATGCTTATGTACTGGACGACACTCCGTCCGTGATGTCTCTTGGGAAACGATGCATGGAAGAAGGATACTCCTTTGTATGGCCATCTGGTCAAATGCCTTTCATGATTACGAAGAATGGAGAACGCATCGATCTGACAATCCATGACAACATCCCCTACGTTGATCTTGGAACCTACGAATGCACTCCTCATGAATGCCATCATGCATCAAAGATCCATGACCTATTGACACATTCTCAAGTCGGATTCAATGATTTCAACGACATTGATGATGTTGGTCAACCCTCACGAAGAGTACATCTCGATGGAGAAAATGGCCTTGAGACATCGACTGAGGATCACAACTGTTCCCGATACGTCAAGAAGCTCAAGGTGAAGAAGAAGAGAAGAGCAATGAACCGACAGAAACATTTGGCAACTCCTGGGGAAGAGGAAGAAGAACCACCTGAGGGCGGCGAGTACGATCCCGGAACTCTGCTTGACGATCCTCCTGGGGACGAGACTGACTTCGAGGATGATGGTCATGGCGCTCCTGAAGACGCCGCCGAAGGTGATGAAGATGACATTGAGATCGATGTCGTCGAGGGTGAGTCCAGGGTAGCCAAAAGAGGAACACTCAAGAGAGAAGCCAATAGCTTGAATCACAAGCTGACCCACAGGTACAAGAATCCATATTGCGATTCATGCATTCGAGCAAAGATGAAGCACTTCAAGACTCGTCGTGGTGCATACAAAAGGGAACTCAAGAAGTTTGGCGACCTCATTACCTTTGATGCAGTGGACACATCCAAAGTCCATGATGACGTATTAGTCCTTGAGAAGGAAGTGTTGGTTGTCAGAGACTGTTTTACAGGAATCATTGGTGCTTATCCATCTGATCGAATGACCAAAGACGATGTAGTTAGAGCAGTGAAACAGTTCATCGGCACCAAGAAGGTCAGACAGGCCTACTCTGATCATGCTCCTCAATTCATTGAAGCTATGAATGAGATGAAGATACCAATTGATCATTCGTTGCCTGGGAGACCTCAAACCAATTCAATCGCCGAAAGGACGAACCAATTTATCCTCACAGCTACTTCTACATGTCTTTTGGAAGCTGGATTACCACCTTGTTTCTGGAGAACGGCAATCCTTTGTGTATGTCATCTACTCAACGTAGAGCCCAACGATGATGAATTGAGCGCTTGGTGCAAACTCCATGGATCTGAATTTGCTGGCAAACTCATTCCCTATGGTGCTCGTGTGAACTACAAGCCTCCGAAGACCAGAGAAGCGGGACAACTCCATAAGTTTGGACCTGATTCTATCCCAGGAGTGTTTGCAGGTTATCACATTGGTCCGGGGATGCATTGGTCAAGATAATATAAAGTATGGCCTCTGAGTGAATTCGTACATCAGAATCTTGGTGACGATGCTAGCAAACCTGAACACCGTCTTCTCAAACCTCATTTGACTGAAAAGGTCGAGATGGTCACTCCACTGACATTTCCATGCAAGCAAGAATATGAGAGGGTGAACACCACATTAGAGGGAATGAAAGAGAGAGAAATCCTCGATGGCGATCCCTCCAAAATGCCTCATGGAGATGACGAAGAACATGACCAAGATGAGGATGATGATGAGCTTGATGACGGGGACGACGGTGGACCTGGACCAAGTGGTGGAAAAGTTTCAAAGAAGCCTCTTGATGACTCCGAGGATATCTTCGACAAAGACAAAGATCCAGAAGAGATGACCCTCCAGGAATTGATCGATGCCCAACCAGACCATTGGAAGAAGGGCAAAGCTGGAGATGGGAAGATATACCTCAATGACGATGGTGAGAAGGTCAAGCTGAACCTCAAGGGTTACCCATACAAGATTGGAGATGACGGTAGACGAATGTTCAGAACGTCATTGCGTCCCAAAGGGACCTATTCTCCTGAAGAATGGCGCAAACTCTCTCAGTCTGACCGGAATACCATCCTCAAGGCCGAGAAGAAGAAGTTGGAAAAGAAAGAGGCCGATGACAAAGCCAAAAGATTGGTCGAGGAGAAGAAGAAGAGGGCAACGAAGAAGGAGAAGAAAGATTCAAAGAAAGACAAGGACGAGCCAAAGTCCAAGGACGATGAAGGTGGTGATGAAAGTAAGAAGGACGACTCTCATTCTAAGTCAAAGAAACCCGATGCAGGTGTTGGTGAAGTTGTGAAGAACAAAGTTACCTTACCTATCACATGTACAAGTACGTATCTTGATCTGTACGACATAGTCGATGATGACGATGTACATGGAAGACGATACATTGATTGTCGAAAAGTGAAGAGGAATGCTGATGCTAGTCCATGTTCCGATGCTTCTACTGACGTCCCGGACGACGAGGAATATCTCACTGAATGGGATGAATGGTCGGAGGTCGAGAAAGGACGTGGCCCAAAAGCATCGTGGAGTGGTGAAGTTTGGAGCACATTGTCAGGTGAGATTTCAAGGTTTTCCATGGCTACGCCAGGAGAGTCGACAATGATCAAAAATGGCAAATGTGTCAACGTCAAGAACGTGAAGAACAAAGCCACTGATGATGACGAATACATCCCTTTCCCAACTATGCCGTGTACTTCTGCATCAAACCAAAGTCACCGAACCAAGATTCCATCAGGAGGTCTTGGAAGCAAACTTTTCAACGCAATGGTTTCACGACCTGTGGGCAGAGCCGAGATTGAGTCTAACCCAAAGGCCAAAGAGGCAATGCTCAAGGAGTGGAAAGGCCTTCGTGATCAAGAAGTATTCGACTTTACAATGGTTCGTGAATACGACGATGTTGTTGCAGAGGCCAAGAAGAACAAAAAGGAAGTACATATGGCCAGGGTCCATGGCATATGCGTGGAAAAGAATTACCAGTTGTCAGAAGACAATCCTGGACGAAAATTCAAGGGAAGAGGCGTTCTGCTAGGAAATCAGGTGAAGAATCAGCATTGGGAGGCAGCATTCTTCCAAGACTTGGGAAATTCCCCTGCTTCCTTCGAAGCCTCACGATGGGCAGATTTTTACGGATGTCTTCCTGGGCACTCCGTCAAGTTGGCAGATGCGATTCAGGCTTACATCCAGGCTAAGTTGAAGGGACCTTTGTGTTGGGTGGAGTTACCCACTGATGCATGGCCTCCGGAGATACAGTATTGGAAGTTCCGTCGCCCTGTCGTAAGACTCGACAAAGCCCTGTATGGACACCCTGATTCAGGCACGGTGTGGGAACAACATTGTGACAAGAAAGTTCAAGAAATTGGTTTTAAGCCCATTGGAGAGGAATGGCCTTCAATGTATTTTCATGATGAGCTCAAATTGCTGTTGGTAATCTATGTGGATGACCTTAAGCTTGCTGGGCCCTCCGAAAATCTGGCCAAAGGTTGGGAAATGCTGCGTACTGTTCTGCGCATTGAACCCGAAACCGACTTGGGACTTTACTTAGGATGTGTTTTATCCCAAGGTGAGACCCAATTGCATAATGGTAAGAAAGTCAAGACCATAACTTATAACATGGAAGGATTGTTAAAGTTATCGGTGGAAAAGTATCTTGACATCATTGGTAAGGACACAAAATTGAAAAAGGTATCAACTCCAAGCCTTCCAGAGGAAACGAAAAGCAGCCCGTATCGAGCTCCTTCCGATGGAAAACGCAAAGTTGAGTGTCCTTGGTGTGCACATTCCTTCGATCCAGATATGCCTGCTCTCTCCGAGACTGGCAACTCACGTCCTGGCCAAGACAGTGAGACGCTGAGCCGTGGGAATCTAGCTCCGCATGCAGCTAGTGTGCTTATGAAGCTGCTTTATGCAGCCCGCATTGCGCGGTTTGACCTGTTGAGATCCATCAATGCATTAGCACGTAATGTGACTAAATGGACAAAGGATGATGACGCCCGTCTTCATCACCTAATGTGTTATGTCAATTCCACATTGTCCCTCAAAATGATAGGATGGGTCGGAGACAAAATTGAAGATTTATCATTAGGACTATTTGCAGATGCGGATTTCGCTGGATGTGCCCAATCCTTGAGATCAACTTCAGGATCGCACTTACAAGTCCAAGGTAAGTTCACAAGATTCCCACTTGCTGGTGGAAGTAAGCGACAAGGGTGTGTTAGTCATTCAACCCCCGAAGCTGAAATTGTGGCTGCAGATACTGCACTTAGGACTCTAGGAATCCCCGCACTAAGTCTGTGGAAAGTCTTAGCCAAAGTTTTTCCTCAACTCCTGTTTCATGACGATAATCAAGGTATGATTGGTGTTGTCAGATCAGGACGGAATCCAACCATGCGTCATTTGGAGCGCACACATGGCATTTCCATTGCCTCCATGCATGAACATTTCCAAAAGGATCATTTCGTATTGATCTATGAAATTACAGCCAAAATGGCAGCCGATATCCATACTAAAGGGTTCAAGAATCCCATGGCATGGAAGAAAGCTTGTATGCTAATCAATTTGTTGGAGCCTCAGGACTTGCAGAGCAAAGAAGTATTAGACATGTTGCAGCCTAGCACCGATGTCGATATGACTACTCGCCAAGTTTTCCAATCCAAAACTGAGGACATCCCAAACTTCCCATACACGGAAACCCCTATTTTACCAAAAGAAGTGTATAGGAAGGGTTTGACTAGCAAAGAGAAGCTACAATACTTGCCAGGTATGGATCCCATTTTTGTCGTCAAGCAACCGGTGTTTTACCGTCCCAAGCCACCCGGCTTGATTGTGCCGCCAGATGTATTAAGATCCACATGGGTTCTTCTAAATGGTGCGTGGACAAAGGTCGAACACCGTGCATCTCCACCAGAGCAGGCTATCAGATTTGATAAGTGGGTTGAACGAGCGTGTTTTCAGTACCATTCGCCCAACAAGCAGCCGTTGATCCCGGACACTGTTTCACAATCCGTTTCAACGACTTCAACCCACCGGGTGATGTCGTCAAAGCACGTGCATGCCCCGCCTGCCCACTCGAGCTCACTACGTGACTCGTGTGCGTCAACACCACATGACCGTGTACAGCATCTGACCGATTCACCAATGCTGATGTTCTCGGTTGATGCCTTGTTTTTAGATGCACAGACATCACCGTCTCAACACCCGAAATCCATTCACCAGTGCCTTCAGCCAGCCACACGTGTGATCAATACGCTTATGCGCCTTGTTCATGGGGGGAGTGAGGGTGAAGGATTGCATTCGCACAGTGAAAAGGGGCACCCACAGTCCACCTCAACACCTGGCCTATGTCATACGCATCCGGAATTGGACATCAATGATAACATTCCGTTTGTAAAATCCACCCGAAAATCCCAAGTGTTAGGTAAGAAAAATGAAGACCATTGGCAGTGGGATGGGAAAGAGACATTGATCCGAATTCACAAAACGCCAAGAAGGCAAAACTTTGTACCACAGGATTGCGAAGACTGTCCTTGTGACCCTAGGATCATATGTGATGAGAGGGAAACTGAACAAAAGTTCAAAACTAATACTCGAGTGATCAAAGACATATGGAGATTCAAGGGCGACAATCATGAATCAACAAACAAGTTGAATGAATTTTGGACTGGAAAATCGACATTCAAGGTGCTCGCCAATGCTGAAGTGATCGATGGAGGTAAGAACTGTAAAGTGAGTCAGGGAGTAATCACGCTATGCACCAATTGCAATGACGTGAAGACTATTCCCATCACTGATGTTTTTGTCCCCTATCAATATCACATTGAAGTAGGCAAACATGAGGTTGACCATCCCAAAGTGTCGGTAATCCTTTGGAGAGAAAAGAAAAACAGAACTTTGGAATTTCAATTTTCCAAATCACCTTGTGACTTGATGACATCAAAGTACGCGAAGTTTTCCCTTGCAATCAATTTGATCGAAGTTCCTCAAGCAGTCCCATGCTTCGTCTTGTTATGCTCGGAAGAGAGAAACTGGTTTACGTTCTTGCAAAACAAAATGAAGGACGAAATGAAGTTTCATGTCGTGCCAATCACTGAAGATGACGACATGCTCTCTCCGTACGGAATCAGCAAAGCAAGGCGATGCCTACGGACCAAACTTGATTCAGTGTTCTTTGCAGGTCCATGTACAGGAGGTTCACCATGGAACCGAATCAACCGATGGGTGAGCGAAGCAACGACACAACTCATCGAAGCAAAGAAGCAGATCTTCTGGGCGATGTGGGAAGTGTTTGCATCAGTGCTAAGTGAACTTATCAACATGGGATCACCAGCCTTGCTTGAGTTGCCTAGAGGTTGTGACTATTGGAAGGACCGTAGAATGACTGACCTTGTGGAAGGAACCGTATCTCATGAGCACAAGTTTGATGGATGCATGTATGGCTTGAAATCACAATTCCAAGAGACTCCCAAACCAATCAAGAAACCATGGATGATTGTCACATGGGGGGTGTCTTTTCCAAAGCTTCATAGAAGATGTGATCGCCGTCATGACCATGCTGAGTGTGCCGGTAGGGAAACTCGCATTACTCAAGTTTACACTAAGTGGATAGCCAAGATAATCATGAATGGAATTAACGATCATGTAATCAGGAATAGTCCATTTGTGAACGTCAGAGTGATGAAACGTTGGAAGCCGCTTGCATGTGATGAACAACTGAAAGCTGAAATGTCTCGTGATTCCGAGAATGTCCGCAGTCACCCAATCAAGTCGGTGGCAACATCCGTTTGTGCTATTCGAGAGCTCGACGCCATTGACCTTTCGTTCGAGCGATCGCTACTGCACTGGTGCTTTTCGAGATTGACATCAACTTCGGTTCATTCTTCGTGGCACTTTTCATTTTCGTGTCACCGCTTTCTGAATTCGACTCCGACTGGTTGTTACGAGACCTACGGTTCGTACAACTATTTCCGCTGTTCGAACGGTTGTCACGAGACCTACGGTCCGTGCGACTTTATTCTGTACCAAGCGTGATGGCCGAAACCCATGATCTGAACTCAGTAGGACAATTCGCTGGAAGCCGAATCACCGTAGCATTACGAGTGCTGAAGGGATTGTCCGAAGGAACCATTGCAGCCAAGACTCCATCACCATTCCGAGACACCCGAGGTTCGAATCTTCGACTGATCTCAGATGAGGACACAGCCAACCAATGGATTAGGTTTG